AGAATTTGAAAGGGACGTTAACATTTGTCAAAACAATTTTCCACATCAAATTCAATGATTTAATAATAACAAAGACAGATAACACTCTTGCATGTCAAAATAATCATTGTGTGCAATGTGATGAAAACTTACCAAACATTTTCAGTATTCTCTGGAGCAGTGTCCATTGTACTCTGCAGGTATGGGATTGATTACTGAAAAACACATACAAACTCATTAATCAAAACTTGAATTATTCAAAATTAATTGTTAGGACCCATGAGTGAATAAATAAAGAAATTTCAGTTGCTAAATAAATAGAACAATTCAACTCATTTTGAACAGCATGAAGAGAAATGCAAGATTGAAAATGATTCTGATCAGTCTTAATCATTCTTTATCTAAACAGAACAAATTGGTTTCTTCAGTAGTCTGCTGACCAAGTGAATTTATAACAGAAGAATATGACCTCATCAGGGATTTATCTAGACCTGCTTAGAAGAATGTGTTCTGCACTAATCTGAAGTAGATGTCACTTACATTCATGTTTACTGTATAATTATAGCTATTGGCTTTGAACGGGTGGCAATTTTTCCTAGTTTTTTCCCCAATTTGCCTGACAAAGGCTCTTAATTTGGAAGGACAAACAAATCCTGAGTTATCCTCTGTATCTTACATGACATTCATGCATTCTTAGTGCTGCCATGCCTATGAAAGTTCAGCCAAAATTATTGATAACCATTGAATTGTAAAACATTGATATACAAGCGAGTCCGGTAATTCCGCGCGTCTGGTAATTCTGCACATCTGCAATAGCGTACTTCCGCATCGAAGGTAAACATTGTCTGCTACCACATTTATGCTTGAAATCGGGACATTTCTACAAGGGACTGGCTTTTAATCACTAAAGGTAAGTAAATAACAGTAATTGACAGATAAATTGACAGTTTTATGAAATTTCGTTTTCTTCAGACTTTTAAACCTTTTTCTTCATTATTCATAATTGGATTTAATACGAAACACTCTTCCTTACATTGATGAAATGATTTTTGAAAATAATCTGGCCCTAATACGCTTCTATACTTCGGATCTCCAGCTGGATGTTATGCGCATCAGTTGCTGCCGCAGAATTACCGGACAGCAAGCGATGTCGTCAGAAAGCGGTAAGGTCAACCGTATAGCATAATGCAACGTTAGAATCTTATAGTCGTCAATAAAACTTATATTTCTAGGTAAATATGATGCATACCAGCATGTTTAGTCACGTAAACCACAAAAAATAAGAGACGTTAGTTGCCGTGTTGCGATCGATGTGCTTAGGTGCGCAGAATTACCGGACGGCATTGTATGTTATGTCATTTCAATGACCAGAAGTTTCATTTGGAACTGACACTGACAGTGTTATGGTTTCACATAGTGAGATTTCTAGGGACTGCACATAATATATATATCATCTGTATTAAGCCCAACATTTTGAGGTGCAACCAGGGACATCTACAAGAGTGTATGTTGCTGACAATCCTAGAAACACAATCAGAGCAAACCTGTCATTTAACCCTTCAACTGTTGGTTTCTTGCACACATAAGCCATGATAAGGGGCACCACCATGCAGACGTGACACCTTCATTTGTAAATGTGGATATCTAATAATCAGGACTCACTAGTCTGTTATTCAGATGCTAGTATATATCGAAAGGGTCCAGCAGTTTCCCTCAAGTATTTAGGACACACCTAGATAATATTAGATCGCCGTCATCACTTTACCCCGATTTCTAGGATATTTTTGTTATGGGGTTACCGAAGCATTAGGAAGAAAAACTGAATATCTGTGCGTTGTGTAACGATGGTGAGCAAAGAGCAAAACAACCAACGAAGGTTGGTCTGAGTGCTGGAACAGGAGTGCCAAAAAAAGATTCGAAAGTTATTCAACTTCCCAACTTTCAAATGTCAACAAAGATCGGTTAAACTTGAACCTGAAATTAGTATGTGATTTATTGCGTTTGTAACTGAAAGAGAAGAGTTTTTTTACTACCGTAAACTTTGCATTCATTGTGCCACAGATCCTATTTGTTTACTCACTTATCAAGGATCAGTTATTAAGTATTTATTGCTTGCCAAACTCTCTCTGACAATTCGAAGATTCCGCCATTGACGTGCACATGCGCAGTAAGTATTTCCGGACATACGCCCTTAGGTAAAAACATTTGTGTATTAACCAAGTGCAATAAAGGTGATCACGCAATTCATGCGATGCGTATTATATGAAAGCACCAAATCCGCAACCATTATATTTCTTTGCCTTTTAAAGTGCTGATTTCTGCTGTTTTGGCGAAGTTTATACCTGCATTCGGTCTTGACCTTTGATATAGAATACTATTAGAGAAAGAACTTATTCAACTGTGACCCTACAAATTGAGACCGTCCTTCGACAGAAAATAATACCGACGCTGAGTGTGTGTTAGCCGTCAGGAAATGAATGGTTATATATCTAAACACGCCAAGATATGATAGAAAACGTACAAAAATATTAAAATGTTGAAGGATACATGCATGATCTTTTTCGTAGCACCAATTTAAAACCTAAAACACATGTGTGGACACAAATTAGAGCCATAGGTGAAGGAACAGTCTGAGGGGGTTTTTTTTGTGTGTGTGTGTGGATTCAAACATTTGAACCTGAGGATGATGGGAGTAAGTGTGTATATTTGCTAAATAAGCCATGAAGTACGAGTGATAACGAAAAATATATCACGTGCTTGTGGCATTATAAGTAACCCGAAGACCTGGGTTCGATTCCCCACATGAGTACCATGTGTGATGCCCATTTAAGATAAGATAAGATAATTCTTTATTGTCCCAAGGGAAATTTGTTTTGCATCATACGTTCTCCAGTTTTTCTTTCGTAAAGCAGCCATACATAACATTGCAATTGGTAATCATGAAACTATTGTTTAAAATAATCAGGATATAAATACATCAATTTAGTACACAAACATAGATATTGAATAGAATTTGGACAATTAAAAGACAAGTCATTCACAGAATTTGTTGTTAATGCACCTAATACTAGCTGGAACAAATGAGTGGCGAACCCTGTTTGTTCTAAAAGTCGGCATACGCAGCCTGCTTCCAGAAGGTAATGATGAATATTCCGAAAAAAGTATGTGAGTAGGATCACTTAAAATTTTGTTTGCCTTTTGGGAAATTTGCTGCTCATAACAACTGCCGATACTTTCGATAGGAAGCCCAATAATTTTAGACGCAGTGTTTACGATTTTTGAGAGTTTGTTTTTATTCTGGACAGACAGGTTCCCGAACCAACTCAAGAAATTAAAGATTATCACACTTTGAATAAGAGTTTTGTAAAATAACATCATGATAGTTTGGTCGATTTTAAAATGTTTCAACTTTCACAAAAAACTGCAAGCGTTGTTGTCCTTTTTTATATATTTTCTCAGTGTCTTCGTTCCAGGAGAGTTTCGAATCTAAGACAGTACCCAAATATGTGTATTCAGTTACTCTTTCGATTTCATTATCTTCAATATTTACAGCATTTATTGTTGACTTAACTTTTCTAAAATCTATGATCATTTCTTTGGTTTTTTGCACATTCAAAAAAAAAAGAGTTTGATTTACACCATTCTACAAATTTTGAAATTTCAGCTCTGTAACTAAGTTCTGATTCCCTAATAAGGCCTACCAATGCAGCAGCATCCGCGAATTTGACTGTAAAACATGTTCCTGTGTTGGATACACAGTTATTGGTGTACACTATGAACAAAATTGGTGAAATAACGCAACCTTGTGGAGCGCCAGTTGATGTGTTTACAATTGATGATTTCACATTATTAACCTGTACAAATTGTTGTCTGTTAACTAGAAATGAATTAATTAATTATTGCTAAAGGCGGCGTAAAACCATACTCACTCACAATTGTCAACCTACATGACATTTATATGGTTAATGTGTAAACGGATGAAAGTCGTTCATATCTGAACAAGGAACTTCAGTGCAAAGAACATTTGTTTGGAGACTTATAAATGAATTGATAATTTATTTTCACTTTGTTTGGGACAAGGGATTCATTGCTTAAGACAATGCGAGAAAAGCATAACTTGCGAGACCCTTAGCTATATAAAATGATTTCATCGCGTTGGGACATGTTGCGCCAGAACATTAAAATTATCATTTTTTTAAGAGACCCGTGAAGATGCGGGTTAGAATTGGTCTTCAGGAACCCATGCTTGTCGTAAGAGGCGACTAATAGCATTGGGTGGTCAGGCTCGCTGACTTGGTTGACACATGTTATCGTATCCCAACTGCGTAGGTCGATGCTCATGCCGTGGATCACTGGATTGTCTGTATTTGCATTAAATTAAATATATCCATTTTAAATTTCCTTATTAAAATCACGTTTCAAAACTTCTTACATCTCTGTCTGAACAGACAAATTCCGTAAGTTTCAATCGCACAATGGTATACTGCATACAGATGGTCTAATCAATAACTATTGTAACATTCTCCGATTGTAGGACTTGATACACTGTTATGGCAGAAATGACACTTAATTGTTACTGTTTATAATATCCCGACTGTCAGCAACTATTAACTGGAATGCTCCACCACTTAACCTTTCTAACTCATCTTAGTTGTAACAACTTCCATATTCCTCATTAATGAACACTAACTGTCTATCTATCCTTCCCTTGCATAGATTATACATTGTATCATTGAATGATGTAAAACGTTCAAACTAAACACTCATATTATTTGACAGGCATTTCTTGAAAGTAGACGGAGGACAGTAACTGTTTATATTGAGATTGTACATCGTAGTTTCAGAAAATAAATTGTGTACTATTTCATTTTGTTTTAAATTTTAATAATATTTAAAAAATAACATTTGGGTGTTAATATGTGAGACCTGATCCAACAAACCCCGAGGGAACGACTAATTAACGTATATTTCGTATAAGCGCAAACTATTCAAAGACGTATACATGTTGATTAGTTGTTAGGAAAGACCTCTTCGCTGACACAGGACGTTACCGCTATGCAAGGCTTACGGCATTTCGCTATCTCGACTCTTCCACGTGCGGTAACGGGCAGGTACTTGTCAACGACAGCAGCGTTAAACATGCCAATTAAGGTAAAGACGCTTTGATGTCTCTTAACATTTCTGTAGATTACAAGCATTTGGTTGTTGTGAGATGCTAATAGGGGTAAACTGGTCCTGTTCTCCTTTTGTTTTAGGATCTTAAGCAGGTGCCCGTTGCATCGCATCAGTATAATACATGACAGGTGAAACTGACCCTGCAGACTTAATCAGTGAATGTTGTGTTAACAGAAGTAAGATAACTTACTTGTAATGTATCCTGCTAATAGATTTTATGTTTTACAATTGGATTATATAGTTTGTAACGGATAATTATATTTAATACCACGAGCAACAAAATCAGTGACATTGATCTGAGACCTTACAAACGTCGATATATGCGTCAGAAAGATGATATACTGCAATAAATTTTGAATGATTGTAAAGATGATATTAAATTCATGTTTGGAAATTTTAGTACACACATTTTCAGTACGTTACGAACTGAGCATGATTATTAAATTGCTCAATTGAAATTGAAATGTGAGTCAGCAGGTTTTTTGTTGCCAGCGGTTGTAAAGAATTCATGAGTCAGGGCTGTTTGTTTCAATGACATGACATTCATACAATGAGAACACATCCTGTAACCTTTTAAACACCTGACCTTGCTTACTTCTTACATGGAATATTTGTTACAAGCAGGAACATGTCCTAACCAAAATCACTGGAGGTGTTCACAATAATTTCTACTTGATGTTTGAATACATGTACTTTGGAGTGAGTGAGTTTAGTTTTATGCCACACTCAGCAATATTCCAGCTATATGGCGGCGGTCTGTAAATAATCGGATCTGGACCAGGCAATCCAGTGATCAACAGCATGTACTTTGGAGCAAGCTGATGTTGCAGTTTATGGCAGTATTGACTCTCCCATTAATCATAGTAGCTTCCTTTCAAGTTAGTATTCTGGTGATATTGGTTTTGAGATCCCTATTAACCAATGAAAAATGTAAAACATATCACCAACAATTATTAAAGACACCTTTATCTTGATCTAAACACAAGCCATCATCTGAGTATTTATAATGTCTGTGTGACACATCTTGCCTCATTGTAGCAAGAGGGGCGGTGGGGTAGCCTAATGGTTAAAGCGTTGGCTCGTCACGCCGAAGACCCGGATTCGAATCCCCTCATGGGCACAATGTGTGAAGCCCATTTCTGGTGTCCCCCGCCGTGATGTTGCTGGAATATTGCTGAAAGCGGCGTAAAACCAAACTCAGTCAGTCATTGTAGCAAGAGTGAATCCTGCAGTCTCAAAAACATATGACATCCAAAAACATAAAATCTGACGATATCAATTAAGATTGTAGGATTCACCCCAGGGCTGTTGGGTTCAATGACTTGTATTCATAGAATGAAAACACACACTTTAACCTTTTAACCACCTCGATTCGCTTAGGTCTGATATGGAATATCTTTTACATGCAGGTACATGTCCTGACCAAAATCACAGGAGAGGTTCACAATTATTTGAAGTTTGAATACTTTGGAGGTTTGCATCATGTTAATGGTGTAGCAGTTAATGGCTCACATATAAATCATAGTAGCTTCCTCTATCATGTTTATGCAGTTGGGCTAACTATCAACATAGCTCATGGTGAGCAATAATTAGTAATTAAATATTGATTGATTGTCCATAAATATTGGAGAACTAACTTTAGCATAAACACAGAAAGTGTCAGAAATCAATTTATCTCATGTGAGTGGTGACAATTTATGCTTGAATTCGTAACAGAAACTAGATCGACATATTGCATTCTATCTTTGGTGCAAGTCTGTTTTCATTTAATAAAACTTATATTATCACAGTAGTTCATGTAAGATATTATTGATGACACAATTTTCATATCAATAATTCTTTCCTTTAATGACCTTTCTATCAATCAATCATTTTAACCAGACTTCATATTCAGAGACACCCAAACTGAAAAATCATCTCTGTGAATTTCTCACCTCACTCCCATATTTTGTTGAATATTTTGGGGAATCAGAAAGCAAAATCTGAAATTTTCCAGTTTATAATATTGTCTTGGTTTGAATTTATCAAAAGTCCTCAGTTGTTTTGCGAAAATGAGCAAACTCCATTTCACTTTGCTGATTTCATGACATGGCTTGTGTAGATAATACGTGACTGAGAGTAGCTTGTGCACACAGTGTAACAGACACTGATTGGCTGACTTCAGGGCTTTGTGTAGAAATGTTCACAAGGTACGTCACCAGGTATTGGGAATTATTTGTACAACTGATGGTGCTGAATGGTAAGGGGAAGTCCTCAAAAAGAATTTCTCAAATATGTTCAGGTGATCCTTGTTATTCTAATGTGCCAACAAGAATGTTACTGTTTATATGTCTTCGAAACTCAGTGCATGTCATTCGACTGCGAGCTGGATAGCTACAAGGAAGTTGTCCTTCAGCAAACATTCATCACTCTTTTTCACTTATGTCAGTCTTGTGCTGTTTTGGAATATCCGGGTATATTTTGTGACTCATATTGTACTGCACAGGTAATGACGATGTGCAGGATGAGAACTGTTTTTACATATCTTTTTGTTCATTTTGTGAATCATGACAAAGACACGGATTCGATTCCCCACATGGGTACAATGTGTGAAGCCCAATCCTGGTGTCCGCTGCCATGATATTGCTGGAATATTGCTAAAAGCGCCATAAAACCCAATGTTATGATTGTGTCCCATTTATGCCTACATGAATTTGTAGTGGGGTTTACGATTACAATCTATTATTGATTGATAACTGAGCTCTGATTATCAATCTGCATATTGTGAGCAATAGCCAACACTAATGCCAGGATTGTTAGTGAGTGAGTGAGTGAGTTTAGTTTTACTCCGCACTCAGCAATATTCCAGCTATATGGCGGCGGTCTGTAAATAATTGAGTATGGACCAGACAATCCAGTGATCAACAGCATGAGCATCGATCTGCGCAATTGGGGACCGATGACATGTGTTAACCAAGTCAGCGAGCCGGACCACCCAATCCCGTTAAAGTCGCTTCTTACAACAAGCATAGTCGCCTTTTGTGGCAAGCATGGGTTGCTGAAGACCTATTCTACCCGGATCTTCACGGGTCGCCAGGATTGTTAGGATTATGTGTGAACAAAGCCACACTGTGAAGCATCTGTTATTCACTGTGATTAGGTTTTGAGCTTTGAGCAATCGTTTAGGGTTTAACGAGCATGTGTTTCTTTTCTAGGTCAAGCGGGAAAACTATTTGATTTTTTTTTTCATGATCGTGATAATCAAACTGTGGTTTTAAAGGTCACATAAACCCTAGGGGGTTAAAATACATAAATCACTAACTGGCATCGTTATAAATGAAACCCCGTCATTAAAACTACTCATTTCGACCTTTAATTGACTTAAATCGACCTTTTTGACAACAGTGCACAATTCTCACCCGCGAACGAAATTTCAACCAATCAGAGCGGAGCGCATCTGTGGCGTCATATGAGGAATAGCTTTGAGGGCGATGCAGAATTCATCTACATTTTAGGGGTTAAATTATCTTGTTTACAGGCTTGTATAAACCTGAAATCGTGACAATTGTTGTGGAAAATGAAAGCTATATGTTCTCACAATCTACTGTCATTTAGTTTTGTCTCCTGCTTTGCCTAGTTTCGAGTTACAACTTGTTTTCATAGGCGATTCTGTCAAAATCGATTGGTGTCGTTAGGCCCTATTTGTATAATGACTGATTCAAATTGATCCCATTTCTGTGTTTTTTACCTCGATATTTAATCATGTCATGTAAAAATCTGTTTGTATTCTCAAAACAATTAATAGGCCCATAAGTTTTCACATGCAATACAGCAATTAATACTCCCTTGTTGTAACCCGTGTTAGGTGGTATATACCTACATATGTTATTTGTCATCATTCACTTGATGGTCAGTTAATGAATTTATAACAGGTATAATTAGTGGTAACACACTTAGATTACCGACAAAGGTTCCCATTTGGCATTTCTTGTGTCTGGAGTAAATATTCAACATTATAAACATCGATCAAAGGATTAACCGATAATGCGCTGATTGATTAATTACTTTTATCTTACACAGCGGAATTGTCAAAAGGTAGTGTTTATGTATGTAGATTTACTAATCTATACTGAATACACTCTGTCGTAATCGGTGTCTGCGTAAAAACAAGCGTCCTTCTTTCAAAGGATTAACCGGCAATACATTGATTGATTGCCCATTATTGGCTAACTAAATTACTGTTTTAAAGAAAGGCGGACATTATGCAATTAGTTGCCAGGTGTGCTATCTTGGGTGACCAATGAGACTATACACCAATACCTGAAAAGATTTATCACTTTTTAGGTATATTAAACTGTTAAAAGACACATCATTTGGAACAGTTTTGTGGATATTGATGGATACATTCCTCGAACAAGGTAATGGCCTGATATTGTTCCTATAACTTTAATCTGTTTTAATTTTAATATTTGCATTTTGTTTTATTCATTTGTGAAGTAGCATATCAACAGAATCATTGTTTTCGCCGTGAAGTGTAATGAGACAGACAACATGCACTAGGGGTGTGTGTGCGAATTATGATTCACATTGGCAAACTATATAATGTCTAGATATTACAGTTCTGTTATAAATTCACTATAAGTATTCAGCAGATCGTCTGCTTTTATTTAGTTTCAAAATGCATACAAGTATTTAATTAGGATTATAAGACCAAATATAAAAGGCACATTGACTAGTATCTACATACTGGTGAGTGGACATTAACCATGGGAATGTAGCAAGAAAGTTATCAGCGCCAGTATTGTGACCGACCCCCACCTGGCTTCCGTGGAAGAAATCGTTATGTTATAAGTTGTGTCATGCAAAATCCGTTTGGTTATGATTCCAATACATATTTAACTCAGGTAGAAAGTAGTCTTGATTTTCTAACTTGATGAAAACAAACTATAATCTCATTAATTCTAACAGATTTTTTATTTTTAAAATGGCGGCCCTGTCGGGAACATCCAGCTAGTCTGAGGATAAATGGTATTTAGGTTTGTTTTTACCGAGTTACAAAATCAAAACTACTTTCTACTGTAGTAAAATATATATTTTATTGATAGCCAATATGATTTTGCATGACATAGCGATATAACATAACAATTCTCTCCTGGCAGCCAGGTGGGTGTCAATATAATACTACTTACAATATTATTGTTACTTGACCACAACCTCGCTTCGAGGAAGAAATCGTTATGTTACAAGTTGTGTCATGGAAAATCTTTATGGTCATCAATCATATGCATATTTTATTACAACTAGTAAGTAGTTTTGATTCTTTAACTTCAGTGAAGCGATCTGAACACAAGTAAGATATCGTTTCAGGCTTCCCTGGCGCTAACCGCTCACAAACATAACCCATTTAGCACTTAACTGCGGGGTCCTGTGGAAATCTGTGCATGGGGACACCATCGCCCGACCCTAGGAGCAATTGGCGACAAAGCAGCGATTCGGCATGTCTTCCGTTGATGTCGAGAAATCATCAAAATGATGAAGCGTGCTACACATTTTCTATACAACTAACTGAAAATGCGTTCCTCATATGGCGTCACTGCAGTGCTCTGGCGACAGAGTTACGTAACCTGTCTGTGGTTTCGTTGGCGTGAGAGGAAGCGAGGCGACTTTTTGGCCACTTTTAATCACTCGGTATTAATTAACCACAAGTTTTTAAAGAATAAATTTGGTGTTCCGCATAAGACTAACCACAAATCTTTCATATGTAATGGTTAAAAGAGTAACAAAAAACAAAGTTTAGTGGTTCTTTAAAATGGATTTCTGTTATTCCACATCCCTTAGTTTTAGGGTTAGCAAAAACCTAAAATAGTAGTATGAAAACATGATATCTTTCTCTCTTGTTTAACAGTCTATAAATATTTAAAGATGGTATTACATCTGAACCTCCAATACAGAATTCACATTCAACAATGATTGAAACTAACAGTGAATATGGTTCCTTGACTTATCCTTGTAAGAACAGAAGATCCCAATTATCCTGAAATTTTGATAACCGAAAACATGAGGCTGCCTATCATCCACTTATTTGAAAAGAATTTAAGTAAATGCATATCTGCATGAGATCTCATTTGGTCAGTCCTTATGGTGTATAAATTGATTGTTTAATATCCGACTTTATTATGTTATAGCATGGTGCCATAATATTGCTGAATGGGCTGTTTGTTTCAATGACATGACATTCATACAATGAGAACACATCCTGTAACCTTTTAAACACCTGACCTTGCTTACTTCTTACATGGAATATTTGTTACAAGCAGGAACATGTCCTAACCAAAATCACTGGAGGTGTTCACAATAATTTCTACTTGATGTTTGAATACATGTACTTTGGAGTGAGTGAGTTTAGTTTTATGCCACTCTCAGCAATATTCCAGCTATATGGCGGCGGTCTGTAAATAATCGGATCTGGACCAGGCAATCCAGTGATCAACAGCATGTACTTTGGAGCAAGCTGATGTTGCAGTTTATGGCAGTATTGACTCTCCCATTAATCATAGTAGCTTCCTTTCAAGTTAGTATTCTGGTGGTATTGGTTTTGAGATCCCTATTAACCAATGAAAAATGTAAAACATATCACCAACAATTATTAAAGACACCTTTATCTTGATCTAAACACAAGCCATCATCTGAGTATTTATAATGTCTGTGTGACACATCTTGCCTCATTGTAGCAAGAGGGGTGGGGTAGCCTAATGGTTAAAGCGTTGGCTCAAAATCAAGCCGAAGACCGGATTGAATCCCCTCATGGGCACAATGTGTGAAGCCCATTTCTGGTGTCCCCCTGCCCGTGATGTTGCTGGAATATTGCTGAAAGCTACGTAAAACAAACTCAGTCAGTCATTGTAGCAAGAGTGAATCCTGCAGCCTCAAAAACATATGACATCCAAAAACATAAAATCTGACGATATCAATTAAGATTGTAGGATTCACCCCAGGGCTGTTGGGTTCAATGACTTGTATTCATAGAATGAAAACACACACTTTAACCTTTTAACCACCTCGATTCGCTTAGGTCTGATATGGAATATCTTTTACATGCAGGTACATGTCCTGACCAAAATCACAGGAGAGGTTCACAATCATTTGAAATTTAAATACTTTGGAGGTTTGCATCATGTTAATGGTGTAGCAGTTAATGGCTCACATATAAATCATAGTAGCTTCCTCTATCATGTTTATGCAGTTGGGCTAACTATCAACATAGCTCATGGTGAGCAATAATTAGTAATTAAATATTGATTGATTGTCCATAAATATTGGAGAACTAACTTTAGCATAAACACAGAAAGTGTCAGAAATCAATTTATCTCATGTGAGTGGTGACAATTTATGCTTGAATTCGTAACAGAAACTAGATCGACATATTGCATTCTATCTTTGGTGCAAGTCTGTTTTCATTTAATAAAACTTATATTATCACAGTAGTTCATGTAAGATATTATTGATGACACAATTTTCATATCAATAATTCTTTCCTTTAATGACCTTTCTATCAATCAATCATTTTAACCAGACTTCATATTCAGAGACACCCAAACTGAAAAATCATCTCTGCGAATTTCTCACCTCACTCCCATATTTTGTTGAATATTTTGGGGAATCAAAAAGCAAAATCTGAAATTTTCCAGTTTATAATATTGTCTTGGTTTGAATTTGTCAAAAGTCCTCAGTTGTTTTGCGAAAATGAGCAAACTCCATTTCACTTTGCTGATTTCATGACATGGCCTGTGTAGATAATACGTGACTGAGAGTAGCTTGTGCACACAGTGTAACAGACACTGATTGGCTGACTTCAGGGCTTTGTGTAGAAATGTTCACAAGGTACGTCACCAGGTATTGGGAATTATTTGTACAACTGATGGTGCTGAATGGTAAGGGGAAGTCCTCAAAAAGAATTTCTCAAATATGTTCAGGTGATCCTTGTTATTCTAATGTGCCAACAAGAATGTTACTGTTTATATGTCTTCGCATGTCATTGCGAGCTGGATAGCTACAAGGAAGTTGTCCTTCAGCAAACATTCATCACTCTTTTTCACTTATGTCAGTCTTGTGCTGTTTTGGAATATCCGGGTATATTTTGTGACTCATATTGTACTGCACAGGTAATGACGATGTGCAGGATGAGAACTGTTTTACATATCTTTTGTTCATTTTGTGAATCATGACAAAGACACGGATTGATTCCCCACATGGGTACAATGTGTGAAGCCCAATCCTGGTGTCCGCTGCCATGATATTGCTGGAATATTGCTAAAAGCGCCATAAAACCCAATGTTATGATTGTGTCCCATTTATGCCTACATGAATTTGTAGTGGGGTTTACGATTACAATCTATTATTGATTGATAACTGAGCTCTGATTATCAATCTGCATATTGTGAGCAATAGCCAACACTAATGCCAGGATTGTTAGTGAGTGAGTGAGTGAGTTTAGTTTTACTCCGCGACTCAGCAATATTCCAGCTATATGGCGGTCTCTGTAAATAATTGAGTATGGACCAGACAATCCAGTGATCAACAGCATGAGCATCGATCTGCGCAATTGGGGACCGATGACATGTGTTAACCAAGTCAGCGAGCCGGACCACCCAATCCCGTTAGTCGCTTCTTACAACAAGCATAGTCGCCTTTTGTGGCAAGCATGGGTTGCTGAAGACCTATTCTACCCGGATCTTCACGGGTCGCCAGGATTGTTAGGATTATGTGTGAACAAAGCCACACTGTGAAGCATCTGTTATTCACTGTGATTAGGTTTTGAGCTTTGAGCAATCGTTTAGGGTTTAACGAGCATGTGTTTCTTTTCTAGGTCAAGCGGGAAAACTATTTGATTTTTTTTTTCATGATCGTGATAATCAAACTGTGGTTTTAAAATGGATTTCTGTTATTCCACATCCCTTAGTTTTAGGGTTAGCAAAAAACCTAAAATAGTAGTATGAAAACATGATATCTTTCTCTCTTGTTTAACAGTCTATAAATATTTAAAGATGGTATTACATCTGAACCTCCAATACAGAATTCACATTCAACAATGATTGAAACTAACAGTGAATATGGTTCCTTGACTTATCCTTGTAAGAACAGAAGATCCCAATTATCCTGAAATTTTGATAACCGAAAACATGAGGCTGCCTATCATCCACTTATTTGAAAAGAATTTTAAGTAAATGCATGTCTGCATGAGATCTCATTTGGTCAGTCCTTATGGTGTATAAATTGATTGTTTAATATCCGACTTTATTATGTTATAGCATGGTGCCATAATATTGCTGAATGTGACGGCAAATTAATAAGAAATCAACATTTGTGCCATTTTTGTGCAGAAAAAAGTGGCATCTACTCATAGATCCATGGCTTCATCTCGTGCACTGTGTATATACAATATACTAGTGTTGGGAATTAAAAATCTCATAATAGATTATTGGTTCATTACAACAGATCAATCATCGAAAATAATTGGTTAACATCATTTCTCAAATTTTCCTGTTATGGTTGTTAATGCACAAAAAAATAAAGAAAAATGTGTAGTTCTTTTGTTTTGTTTTTTTTGTGCAAATTGCTCAAAATGCCTTTGCAAATTTCACATCTTTAAAGGATGACTAGTATGTTGGGAACATAAATTTCCTGGAGTCTTATGAGAAAACATTATCAATTGCTTGGTCGTATTTTCAGTGTGACCAATCATCGATTATTTCAGTTAATCAGACCACCACTAGAATATACATTATAGACCCATGGTTACTCCAGGCTGACAAACAATGGCTGACATGTTGGCTGGGACTCATTTTGTTGTACATTCCAGGAAGGAGACAAGCTCCCAGAAGTTGACCTTTTCGAAGGTAACCCTCACAACAAGGTCAACACAAAGGACTTGTTTGGTAAAGGCAAGATTGTCATCTTCGCTGTTCCCGGAGCATTCACACCAACATGTTCAGAGGTAAGACAGCCATGTTTTTATCTGCTGGTATGACAGTGTAGGGAAACATGATGATATAGAGTGTGCTCAATTTGTCTGCATGAGGAATTAACAATAGACCAGATTATGTGTCAGGGTTGGTGAGGGGAGAAAAAGGCAATGTACCGCTTTGAATTTTATCATTACAGTATAGTTATTGCGATTCAAAGATCTGATAGGTATTGCATTATATGCCATTACCAGCTATGTTGTATTCCATCTTCGAGCTGCCCTTCATTGATTTGTGACAAAAATAGCACCATATATTGGTTATTCACCTTTTATTGCCAACAATCTCAGCCAATTCATAGTGCCAAGATTCTTAGTAACCAACTATGGCTGAGCCAAGGGAGGCAACACAGAGACACATAGCAGTGCATACCATCAATATTCTTTGTCATTAGGGGCAGTGGGGTAGCCTAGTGGTTAAAGTGTTGGCTCGCCATGCCGAAGACCCCGGTTCGAATCCCCACATGGGTACATTGTGTGAAGCCCATTTCTGGTTCATAACAACGCCGTGATGTTGCTGGAATATTGCTAAAAGCGGCGTAAAACCAAACTCAGTCAGTCAGTCAGTCTTTGTCATTAACTGATGATTTCCCAATATGCTGACCCATCTGGTAGGAGGTTTTGTTTTATTGTGTGCAGGAATACAGGTAGACTAAACTTTAGTTTCTAAACATATATTTTGATTGAAACAAAGAATTTTGGGCTTTTGCGTTATAGTAAGGGCTGGGATTAACATAAACCAATATGGTTAAAGAACCGTGAGACAGATAAATATACAGGTTATGCTGTGGAAAGTACAGACTTGGTAGCTAGAGAAAAACACAATTTTTGTGATATTTATGTTTTTACATTCACAGGTATTCTAACATTGGATTCAAAACAGCAATGTCAGACAAAGTCATATATACAAAGTTATAAAATATTAAGTCACAATGTGTGAAGGCCTAAATTTTTATATTTAAATTTCGGGAGTTTTACTAACATATGCTTAAGACATGTTGCCAAATACGAGTCTCCAAATGCCTTAAAAGCTTAAAAGTCAGGTCTTTTAAAAGTCTCTTTACATTTTGCATATTTTTATTACCTTAAAATATTATAAAACCAACAATGGACTGTTTTTTCTGTAAAGGCACTATATCACACCACATTTCTCTAAAAACGAATAATGCTTTTTTGTCAATACAGTGCACTCTGTCAAACTCGGACTCTGTCTTTCTCGGATCGCTGTATAAACAGGACTGAACTCACGGTCCCGATGTAATCCTTCTTTGTTGTCATAATAAAAAAGTTCTGTATCTCGGACTCTCATTATTTCGGATTTTCGGACCAAAGTGTCGGCCCGATAAGGTAGTTACATGTAAAAACATTGCTATATAATTCGGACTGAGCAGGAAGTCCGCTTGGCCAATAAACTTTGAATAAACATTCCGTTGATTGGTTTGTGTATTTTGTCTTATTTACTTAGCAGGAAGTCCACTTGGCCAAGACCAGGAAGCGTGGTCTAGCGGTGAAGCGCTTATTTACCTTTGATCATTAACGCCAATTGTAAACTATAATTGAGCCGATCATGTCAACTCCAGTGTCAATGTCACTATGCATATAAGATGCCATCAGACACAGTGTGATATCAATCAGTTGTGTAAAGCGATTTTATTGGATAAATATTGGTTTCTAATGATGCTTTTTCGCCACAGTCTGCTTTAAAGGGTGCGTGATTGGTCAAAATCAGACCGTGACCTAAGGCAGCCAATCATATTACGGCAATGGATGCATATCAAATAAGCGAAAACTTTTAGATTTAGACAAACGTTTTGGGTAAAATAATGCTATTCTGAACATATTAAGTAAGAAATCGCTACCTATCGTAAATTATGGAACTTATTAGACTTATCGTGCTAGGCTATGACCTGTGACAAAAATGCTTCATGTATATATTTTTAGCATTAAACATCGTGTGTCGGCCGTGAAGATTGAGAGCGGCTGAGAGCGAGATGTCACTTGTCAGTGACTTGACTTACATTACATGATCGCACAAAAGATGGAAATAGTAATTTTATATGTACGTTTGACAACTTTTATGAATGTCGTTGTTGATTTTATTCATTAGTTTATTCAATTTATTTAATGAATTCCTCAGAAACATCGTTACTTTGCTCTTTGACAATGTTATTGTGGACCCAGCCGCGAAGCAGGTGTCTGAGAATCGTTGTTTACAATAACATTGCGAAAAAAATAGTTTATAATTTTAATTCTGCTGATAATATATGATAAATTGAAATTTAATAAGTGTTTTCAGACATTGTGAAATGTGATAGAATCTGTGTACCGGACTACTGTATAATTCAGACTTTTTAGTGGGTCAATAATATTAACTATCAGCCCTCAGGAAAGAAACACCTGGCTGTTCCTCTCTTTGCAGTCCTCCCTCGTAACAAATAGTGAACTTTATCAAAATTTTAATGATAGTTTGTTAAACAACTTTTTCATTTTTAGGACATAAATTCTGCAAAAAAAATCACAGAGTTGGTCTGATGTTTTGATTATGATCAGTGTTTCATTGAGTATTCTATGTTTAGTTGTTTTCGAGTTAGATTGCAATTCATCGGTCCAATTTTGAGCCAAACGGACTGTAACATTCTGTTAACTGATGCCTTGTCTGGTGGACTGTCTAATACCCCCTCTTTAAACAGGAAAGATCAATGTAGTATTAGAAAAAGTGATTTTACATACATGTTTTAAACATTTTTTAATTCAAGAGAAAGAAAAGGGATTGGCAAACAAGCTCAGTGGGCTTACATACTTCCTGTGACTTGTTGGTGTACAGCTGTAGCCAGGACTCATGGTGCAAGCATCAACAAATTGATTGTTTATGAAATATTATTTCTTTGTGTGGTAAATGTTAGGAGACATACACGGGTGGAAATAACCCATTGCCCGATGCCCGAGTCCAGTGTTTTTTTCTGTCGGGCAAGCAAATTTGTATATCACACTGTACCGGTGTCCAGTTGATATTCCAATGTTAATTATGTTGTTTATTTAAAAAATCAACAAGAAAACGGCCGGTATAGTGGAAAAATTATCAGGGCAAGTGATTTTACATGTGCCACTGTACCGGAGTACGCTAGCAATTTTAAAGTTTTTTCCACCCCTGCATACAGTTGTAACTCTTTAATTGATATCGAAAAGAAAAAATGTCCTTTGATAAATAATCAGGACATAAAACTGCTAACCAAATAGTATAACAGACAGGAAGAGGACCTATTGCAAGTGTTTAAAAAAAGGTTTTGTCCTCGTTGAATAAGGTGGGGACATTGAAATACTGTTCAGCATTTGAAAGATCAGGGAGTATTGAAATGTCAAGTATCGGTCAAACCATGCGAATGTCACCTCTTTTATGTAATAAAATAGTTTGGTATTGGTTTTTTTTAAATTGTGATTTGAACATGTCTGAATATAATCTCCTAAGGGGTATTTAAAGGCACAATGTCACACATTTTCAACAATATTTTGGCCTGTATTTTATATATTGGGGACATATAGACTCACTTTAGCTTCCTATTGATGCAATAAAAGACTTATTATCCCTATCGACTTGTCTGGAATCAATAAATGAAACTTCGAGAGGAACAGCTTCCAATTGGATAACATGTGCCATATATTGAATGTAAACAATTGCTACATACATCGAAAACGGTCGCACATGCGTTGTTGTCGATGTTTGCCGAACTGGTTTCAATCACAAGTTGTGCGTACGATATTCACTTGTGCGTAAAGAGCGCTCCAAGGGACATAACTCTATGGGGTTCACTTGAAATAATGTTCAGTCAGTAGAGGGCGCGAGAGTCATTCAAACTTTTTAATTTAACATTGTAATCTAAATACGTAATTTTGGGGGAAACATATATGGTAGCTTCCATGAGGGCTGATAGTTAATATTATTGACAGAAATGCATTATTCATTTTTAGACAAGTGTGGTGTGACATTGTGCCTTTAAGGCTGAGTAAAAGTAAAATTTGAAACAACATTTGACAAAATAGAAATCTTACATAGATTTATGCACAAACCGCAATCCCAGAACAGTTTTGTTAATTTAAAGGTATGCTAAGGGTGGTAGTCGTAGAATTGTAAAACATTAGTGGATATTGTTGTACGTTATCAGTATTTGGGCAAGTAGACTTCCTTGGTTACTTTGTATCCTTGTCTTAAGGAGGAAATCCACTTAGCAAAGCAACATCAAACATACATGGGGTTCAAGAGGGAGAAGTCACTTGGAGAATTACACTGTAACTTAGCTGCGTCACGAACAACGGCATGTTTTATCAAAAGTAATTTACTCAGCCTTTGGTCAACAAGAAAAGATAAGCCCAGTCTGTACATGAGCTCACTGTCTAAATGCAGTGAGCATTCTAGTCAAGGGAAAGGTGTGTTAGCCCTGTCATAAAATAATTAGTCTTTCTAAGCCAGGTGTGTCAGAATGATATATATATTTACTGGCATACATTTCAATACATCCACACACAGCCCACCACCAAATTCTAATTAATAATTTTGTCAGTGACTCAGCATTGGAGCTTTACCTGTGTTGATGTAAGCTGTCAGTATAGGAGACAGTCGGTACAAACAGTATCCAATACACTTGTGTTGCTAAGCTCCTCACAGCAGTATTTGTATTGCCTGGTGCCTGTACTTTGAGTGTAATCAATGTGTCATGTGTTGAAGTGGAGCCTGCTTCATAAATTAAACATGAGAGTATCCTATGGTCATATGTTTTGATCTGCCATTACGTTTCCCGTTTATAGCACGAGAATGAGAGAAAATCCATGAGAAGCAGCCCAAATGACAAGGCATTCCCAGCCATCTTCCATCAGTATGTGGGGCAGTGGTTATAGTGTTCCCAGCCATCTTCCATCAGTATGCTACAAGTTATGTTTCCATGCATAGGCAACAGTATAGAAACCCACAGTAGATTAATTTTAGCTCTAGGATCATCAACGCAATATCTACCTCATAATCAAATGCATAAAAATCCTAAATCTTTACTCCAAAGATGCCATTAATATTTCGACTTCTTAGTTTACATCCTACCTGTACAGGATCATGTTATTGGTCATGTGACCACGCTGATAGATTTGTCTTTATGGCACTCCATAATTTCAAAAATGATTACGTTAAATTGGCAATGAATTCCAAAACTTATTTTTTAACAAAAACTAGTGCCTTTTAATATATTTTGTTTACAGAAGATTATCAATGTAAGAAAGCCCAGTTACAGGCAGTGTAATCATGAGGCTCTAGATAGTTCTGATAAGACTGTTGCTGGACAGGGTATGCCAATATTTTGCGTATTATCCATATCGTGAAACATAATATATCATATGTGCACATATCACTTTTGCCTAGCAACCATCGTTTCTGTATTTCGTCGTCTGTGACGTCATTAAACAATTCAACGTGACGTCAATAAATAGGGCAGTCACACTTGCTTACCGTGTGTTACTGCACAAATGTACATGAATAAAATGGATAATAAAGAAATTATTACACTCGCAAGTGTGCAGTACGACTTATACGAAACTCTCGAGCGAGAGCAATACAAAATGTCACATTTGTTTTGTATAAGTCGTATGACACACTTGCTCGTGTAATAATCTATGTAGACTGGGACTTTCTCCACCATATGCTACTCTAGTTGATAAATTAAAAGGGAAATCTATTTCCATTGGGGTTTTGTTTTCAACTACATTTAAATCAGTTTTGGAACGATATAGAAGGGGAAATTGTTTATTATGGCTACAAGGACTTGTTTGACTGTATATGTGATACAACGTGCATGCCCTTCTGTTACAAAATCGCTAAAAATATATAGCCAACGAAAGGATTGAAAACATGTTACTTCACGTCTGGCGAGACCTTGAAATTGTTTTGACTGCAATGGCGGGTTACCGATAGAAAACATATGACAAGCATAATAATGCAACAGTTTATGAATAAAATATCTTGTCTAAAAGTCAGCTGAACGATATTAATATACTGTATTTATTTTTTGATCATAAAATATTTTACCGTTATTCGATCGAAACCCAATACACCAGAATACATGATGAAAATTATCAATGTTCTAAAGGCATGTGAGGTTTTCTGTCATCGTTTTTAATCTGCCCCATTGGTCGCGGCTAAGTCATTTAAGGCAGATTAATTCTGTGCAGAACTGCATGCTTCCTGGGTTTACCAACACCATCCCATGCTTGTGAATGTCACTGAAGTGATAAACATGTATAGTGCAGTGTAATACGTAAGTATCAGCGGTTCTTAAATTTGTTTTAAAGAGGCCCTTATATTTACAAAAAAGGCAGCAATGAGAATGAACCATGTTATTGTTTCAGACACATGCCCCTGGCTTCATCAAGAACATCCCCGATTTGAAAAAGAAGGGAGTGACAGCTGTGGTGTGTATCGCTGTCAATGACCCCTTCGTCATGGACGCGTGGGGAAAGTCACTGGGAGCAGACACAAAGGTGCCAAACTATTTTAAATATCTTGGACAAATTAATGCATTAAATATTTAATGCAGGTATATTACTGCAAATTCTGCAGTGGGTTTTGATTGCACTTGATTCTGACTAGTGACTACTCAAACAGGGCTAGGTTTCAAATCGAAATAACCATCTCTGATTGTTGTTTGACAACTTCATCAATGTTGAATAAAAAAACTTACTTCTCGTACAGTCTTGGTAGGCATGTTGAAATAGTTATGTGTACCGTTACAAGTTACATTATACAAACTTCTGTTCACTCAGATTTTCAAAGTATCTGGGGACATACATATTTGAAAGACCAAAAGATTCGACTGTGACATCATATTTTGCATCACAGTGAGCAATGTGCGGGGATTTTGCTTGAGATTTTAGCAAAGTTTGACTATTTCGTTAACCATCACCAAAATTTTAAAACATCTTGCAGACATTTTAATTACAGTCCATGTGGACTGCTCACCAATCCTTACAAATAGTTCTGTTTCTAGCGAAAATACAATATGCATCATAATGGGCGGATGTCATAGCAATAAATACATTGAAATATATTGTTTCAGGTCCGAATGCTGGCAGACACAGCTGCTACCTTCACAAAGGTATGTGTGGTAGTTGTGTAATATCGTTGTAAGTCAGGACTTGTGTCTACAGATGTGAAATTTTCATGTGTGGTAGGATGGCAAGTATACTGAACAGCAAAAGAAACGCAAGTCTGGCTTTATGTCAAGTTTTTTAATAGAAGACAACCAAAATTATGTCTAATCATTTATTCTATAGAAAACACTGTCAATTTAACAGCTAAAAGTTGCTGTTGACATTGAATTGCAATAAGTTCAAATTGATCACAGTCCATCAAATGGAGATACCCCTGAACGCGAAAAGTGACAGTCTCTTTAGTAGCGCGTATTGCCACCTTGAGCTTGCACACAGGCCGTGCAGCGTTCTGCGCGCCTCCACTGAGTGTCACTAGCGTCTGAAAGGATGCCTGAGGCAATTGGTTCCGCTCAAACACCGATCTCTATTCCAATCGTGCAAGTGTGAGTGGCTGTCTACCTGCAGCAATCCTCCGTCCAATTTCGTCCCAGAATGTTCAATGGGAGCCATATCTGAGGAAAGAAACGGCCATGGAAAAACGTTAATGTTGTTCGGAGCCAGATAATCCATCAACACCATTGCTGTGTGATGGCTGCAAACATTGCTGGCGTTGTTGACGTGCCATAATTGTCCAACATATGGCCTTTGGCAGTGGATTCCAGCAGCCCAAGGCGGCGCCCTAATCGTTCGCTTGATGACATTGGAGCAAGTTGACCAGGATGAACCGAGTAAGAGTTGTCACTTGTTGCCCTCTGGTAAGGGGACGATCAGCACCAACCCCGGTTTGCTGATGACGTTGAGCAAGTTGTGTAATGGTAGTAAGATGACAGCCCAATTGTCTAGCTACAGCGATTGCAGAACTACCGTGCAACTTTCCAATGGCCATTCCCCTCTGCTCAGTCTAGTCATTGTTTGTGTGGCGTGTGTACACCCCCTAGCATACTGAACTGTTTTTTGTCACAAACCATTATAAAGGATACCTAAGAGTGAAATGCATGCTTTTCATCCAGAACCGCTGATGCACGTGCTAAAATTATGGTTTTGCTGCACTGTTGGTGTGTTTGTGCAAATGGTTCGTATGGACGTCAAATTGCATGACATCATCTCATCTGGGATCATTACGTCGCTTTACCATGAACGTTCCATAAACATGAACGCTTACCATCATGAGATTTCATATTTTCGAAACTTGCGTTTCTTTTGCTGTTTAGTATATATAGTGGATGTTTGTATTAATTTGTCAGATACAATGTTTAACTCATCGGGTGACCTGAAAACGCCCATATTTTAATGGGTCAAACATTTCACAAGTGAAAACTTTGTCATGAGATGTGGAAAATATGGTTTTTGCCAGGAAATGACAAATGGTCTATATATTATGTATGTTCTTTCTGGCTTCCATGATCTTACTGTGTTGTACAGCGAGTGTTGTACAGTTTCAGCGAAATATCAGTTTGAATTTTTCAGTAAAATATGATTTGTCTTCACTTTTATTTAGTATAAAACCCCATATCTCAGTATTATCATACAGTATGATCACATGATAGCATGTTCTAGAACCGGACACTTTTGCCAACCACAAATAATGGATAAGAAATTTTGAGGATGAGAGGAAATGACTGTTTCCTTATATTTAGCATTGTATAAAGAATAAGTGAAAGGAAATGTATTTTTTTCATTTCTACATTGGTAACCGTCCACTGTTTTATCAGCCATTGAAATTTACACTCCTCTAAGACTAGGTACCCGTGAAGGTACTTTCAAGACGCAGAATATTTCCGGAATATTGCTGAATGCGGCGTAAAACTAAACTCACTCACTCTGAGACTAGGAAGGTATCAACTTCAGGTGAAAAATATAGTTGAATGAAAAGTCATCTTTACACTCTTGAGAATCAGTTTTGCGCAGGTCCTCACAGTCAAAGATGAAAAAAAATTGGAATTTGGTGGTTTGTATACTTCTAACTGGGTCAGGTTGTGGTGATGGCTCAGTAAGGAAACACAGTAGATAACACCACGTTTATACTCTACATACTTCCTTCTTCACCCACTGTCTCACTGTAAGGGCATTTCCTTGTCATCTGTGACACAAGCATCTCGGATTCAGCCTTAGGTGGCATTGCTGGCCCCGGGGTGGGGGGTAGCCCAGTGGTTAAAGTGTTTGTTTGTCATGCCAAAGACCCAGGTTCGAGTCCCCAACAAATATGTGAAGCCCATTTATGGTATCCCCCAATATTGCTAGAACATTACTGAAATTGTCATAAAACCCAACTCATTTATTCATTCAGCTGAAATGAGAATATCTAAAAATAAACCCCTTAGCTGCCTTGCAGTATAGGAAGAAAATGTCCCCATTTCTTGCACAGGCAGACACATTCTATTTCTCACCTTTTTTTAAAACTAAAACAAAATGTAAAAAATGAAAATAGTTATTGTCATGATAAAAATAAAATTGACTATCTGTTACGCTTCTTAACAGCATTTCGTAAGAGGCTACTAATGGGATCAGGTGGTTTTGGCTCACTGACTTGGTTGACACATGTCATCGGTTCCCATTTGTGCTGATCAATGCTCATGCTGTTGATCACTGGATTGTCTGGTCCAGACTCATTTATTTACAGACCGCTGCCAAATAGCTGGAATATGGCTGAGTGCGGCGTTACACTAAACTCACTCACTCACTCTTAAAATTAAATATACTGGCCACATAAAGAAACTGTGCACACAGAAAATATAAATATTGGCACAAAGTGTCTTTATACATAAATACAGGTGTGAACATAGCAAGTATTGGAGACAATCAAACGCTCATGCACATGCCAGGCGATGTGACGTCATTGATGGTTGACTTGTAGTGTGTTACTGCACGTGCAGCCCGTGCAGCTGCACACTTGTGAAACTCAGAAATTGCTGTCACTGTCGAATGCTTGATCTTTGGTCATTCAAACATTCACGAATTCCCATGAGAAGTCACATGCACATCATGCCAAGATTAGCATCTGCTCAACATTATGAAGCCATTGGAATGGTTCGAGCAGGAATGACAACAGGTGGCAGCACATTTCAAATGCCATCGTAACACGATATCTGCATTGACCAGGCGTTATCGAAACACTAATGACGTTGCCGACCACCCACGTTCTGGGCGTCCCCGACGTAACGACGCCAAGACAGGACAGATGGATTCGGGTGACTCATCTCAGACACAGGTTCCAGACGGCAGTGACCACGTCCCAGACCATTCCCCAGATCTTCAATGCTCATTTGGTAGCCTCTATGTGTCGTCAATGCACTGCTGTGCTTTACGCACATGGTGGTCATACCCGTTGTTGACTTTGTGACTTCGTCGTGTGACCCCCTATTCGATTTTGAACTTCTGACGTCATCGTTACGGATATTGTTCAGGTTCTTTTGACATTTTGTTGTGGTCCAATACGTCAGCTTATAAAGTGTCTACATCATTTCATCTTTTCTGTGTTGTATTCCAGTTCTGAAGGAATTTTCTGTGTGCATATATGAAAAAATCTATGAAATTTCAATAGCTGTTGCATTATAATGAATACAGCAGGCAAACAGGTGTTAGATGACAAATGGTCATCTAAATTTACTGGACTGTTTCAGAAAGTCGGAATGGACATGGATCGAACAGAAAGACTTGGGGAATTAGATCCAAGAGGTTAGTTAAGACACCATTTGAAACTAATGGATTGATTGTGTTTCAGAAAATTGACATGGCTGTTGACTTGACAGAAATCTTGGGGGGAGTGAGGTCCAGGAGGTTAGTGTATCATGTTGCCTGGAAGTCTCTCTCGTAGATGTAGCTGCCGTTGTAGATGCTTGCCTTTGACTCTGTCCTTTCCATGACACGAGACTGTAACAATTCTCTGTAACAATGCATTACTACACTTCACTGTAAGATGCCGTAACAGGACATTACTGCAACACATTACATTATCATACCTGTAGGATTATCACACATTACATTATCATACGTTATCACATACAACACAGAAGGATGTGTACAGACGATTATCATACCTGTAGGATTATCACACATTACATTATCATACGTTATCACACATTACACTGTCATACCTGTAGCAATACAACATAGAAGGATGTACAGACGATAATTACCTGTATTCATGCACTGCAACACATTACATTATCATACCTGTTACGTTATCAAGCATTACACTGTCATACCTGTAACAATACAACATAGAAGGATGTACAGACGATAATTACCTGTATTCATGCACTGCAACACATTACATTATCATACCTGTTATGTTATCACACATTACATTGTCATACCTGTAACAATACAACATAGAAGGATGTATCACGATAATTACCTGTATTCATGCACTGCAACACATTACATTATCATACCTGTTATGTTGTCACACATTACATTGTCATACCTGTAACAATACAACATAGAAGGATGTACAGACGATAATTACCTGTATTCATGCACTGCAACACATTACATTATCATACCTGTTACGTTATCACGCATTACACTGTCATACCTGTAACAATACAACATAGAAGGATGTACAGACGATAATTACCTGTATTCATGCACTGCAACACATTACATTATCATACCTGTTATGTTGTCACACATTACATTGTCATACCTGTAACAATACAACATAGAAGGATGTACAGACGATAATTACCTGTATTCATGCACTGCAACACATTACATTATCATACCTGTTATGTTATCACACATTACATTGTCATACCTGTAACAATACAACATAGAAGGATGTACAGACGATAATTACCTGTATTCATGCACTGCAACACATTACATTGTCATACCTGTTATGTTATCACACATTGCATTGTCATACCTGTAACAATACAACATAGAAGGATGTACAGACGATAATTACCTGTATTCATGCACTGCAACACATTACATTATCATACCTGTTATGTTATCACGCATTACACTGTCATACCTGTAACAATACAACATAGAAGGATGTACAGACGATAATTACCTGTATTCATGCACTGCAACACATTACATTGTCATACCTGTTATGTTATCACACATTGCATTGTCATACCTGTAACAATACAACATAGAAGGATGTACAGACGATAATTACCTGTATTCATGCACTGCAAAACATTACATTATCATACCTGTTACGTTATCAAGCATTACATTGTCATACCTGTAACAATACAACATAGAAGGATGTACAGACGATAATTACCTGTATTCATGCACTGCAAAACATTACATTATCATACCTGTTATGTTATCACACATTGCATTGTCATACCTGTAACAATACAACATAGAAGGATGTACAGACGATAATTACCTGTATTCATGCACTGCAAAACATTACATTATCATACCTGTTATGTTATCAAGCATTACATTGTCATACCTGTAACAATACAACATAGAAGGATGTACAGACGATAATTACCTGTATTCATGCACTGCAAAACATTACATTATCATACCTGTTACGTTATCAAGCATTACACTGTCTGTCATATTTTGTCTCTCCAGGTTTCTTTTGTTGTCTGTTCCTTAGTTTGGTGTGTCATACAAGTGAACAAAGTAACATGAGTAGAAAATCATTTTAAAAAGTTTACAGCTCTCCCGAACTCAGTAACCGTGACCTTTCTGAAGGTGTGATATAAGGTATTGCATTAAATTGGTGGTGTATTAGATAACACTGATGCCAGATAATGAACTGACAATGTTTCTGACTTTGGCAACGGTTCCAGTTGACTGCTTAAGAAAAACGTAAAGACCATGTAGATAATCTGTCATGCAATCAAAGTGCATGAAAGAATGGACCGATCCTTATTTTTCTTTTTGAGTGCTATAACTGTCATATCAAACATAGTACACAAGGTATTTTGAAGAAGTGTGGAATGTGACAAAACTGGAATTTTGACAAATGTATGACACTGTTTGGTACACAACTACCTATGACATTGTCACCAATTATTTAATATTAAAGGTCACATGCAACGTAAAACACAACTTTGCAGATTCTGATACCTTTCGGTATGGACTTACCGAAACAAATCATCAAAAATGTTTGATATTGTTTGGTTGCATGTAACCTTTAACATAAATATGATTTGAATTTTATTCAGTCAGCCAGGTTTGGCAATTTTTAGTAATTAATCTATAAGGAAAGGGATTGCTCAGGATCAATCCATAGAACACCAAGCTGTGCTAGATTAATCTTTCTTGTAGGCATGGTTCTGTTGTTGAATGCTTTCCTTACAGCTTCTTCACATTTTCTTTCTCTGTTCTTTTGTGTGTTTTGTCTGTTTGAAAATAGTCCTGGCTACTAATACATAATTTCTTACAATACTAACATTAAAACAAACTCTTCATGGATAACAGTTTTCAGTTTTGTAAATTTTCATTCGTCATAAATGTTTTATTCAAATATTTTTTTGTAAAATGAAACTTTTATTAAGAAAATAAAGTGCATGTATGAGAATTTTTCAATTATATACTACAGATACATCTTTTCAAATTTGGAGTGGCAGGGTACCCTGATGGGTAAAGCGCTCGCTCATCACACAGAAAACCTTGGTTTACTCCTTATATTGGTACAAGCTGTGAGAGACCTTTTCTGGTGTCCCCTGCTGTGATATTGCTAAAAGTGGAATAAAACCATACTCACTCACTCTTTACAAGTTGCCAGTTCCAGTTTATCAACAGTAACAAATGCCAGTATTTTTATAACCTTTCTGTCAGCTGTGTTTCATAATCACAATGTTTGCAATGATTCTGTCTAGGTATGCGATGGTTGTGGAGAATGGTGTTGTGAAGGCCGTCAAGGCCGAGCCAGACAACGATAGGCCATACCTGCAGCGCAGCTAGCGAGGTGCTGAAGCTGCTGTAGAAACAATGGAGCTGGTGACGCTGAGAAGAGGCATTTGCTATAAATAGGATTAAACAACCTTAAGAAATGGAAAGTGGAGAAAACATCATATGTCAAAAGAGTTGTTTGTTGAATGCAAAATTTACGTATTTGTATTTGTATTTACTTAAAATTCCCCAAGTTAATGGTCAAGACCAATGGGTAAAGCACATGTGGTATTGTTACTTTTTTAAAGAACTAAAATATGACCTAACTTTTTATATATATCGTTTCTGCCGTCCAAGTGGACTTATTCACAACACAGTTTGTGAACCAAGGAACAAAGAACATGGCATCACAATTGCACATATCCTTGGAGATGAGTCCTACGGTAGAGTGTACTTTGTCATCCTCTATGTGTGTTGGTTCAAGAACTGTCGTATATGTTACATAGAAGTTAAAGGTTCGGAATTTCTAAGTAAGTTACTCATGAAGGTAATAAAGAAGCCTGTTTTCTCTTTCTACTGTTTGAAGGATACATTTACCATTCCTGTCAGTCAGATGATTTATCGTTGGTATTTAAATCTCAGTGCTCCCTGAACAAAGCCTGTTGTAGTCTCTACCTTCCAGCAAGTTTAACACATTTCAGTAGTCCTTTTAATGTGACTGGGATTTTGTGACACAGCCATTTTACAGGTTGTGAATATTGTGTCTAGCGTTTGTTTTGTTTAGTTTTTATATTCAAGATCTTCATATACTTTTATCGCACAAAGGACCTTGAATTAAGTATCTGGGGAAGATGGTGTCTATCAGTCGGGAGCAAAAAGAGCCTGAAAGTGTTGATATTTTTTGTTTGTGAGTGTTCATTAATCTTTATGGATAATCTGCCATACTCTCGGCACTTGAAATTATTTTATTTATGACAAAATATGTCAAATATTTATGTTGGACTTGACTTTTTAATATTTGTTGAAACAGCCTTATGAAGGGATTCATGATTTACGCAATATTTTTGTCAGTTTCAATGAAGACTTTTAAGTTGACAATTCCAAATCCAAATTTGAGATCTGTTTGTTTTCTTTGAGGTTTTTTCCATTTACCTGGTCTAATCATGCCAATGCATCTTCTGGTTATATTTCCAAATGTATAGATGTGTTAACAGTTTGATGGTGATAGTTTGTAATAAAAATATTCTTTAGAACCTTGTGTTTTGTTTTTCATATATTCACAATCTGTTGATTTTGCACTTTGGATGACATAATTTAGGTAAATATTTGGCTTTGTGTCACTGATGTATTCTGCTACACTATGCGGTGATATTGTCAATGAATATCACTACCTTCTACTGTCATATATTCCTCAAGTGAGATAAGTTGTCAAAATACTGTCTCCATCAAACATGTCAAATGAAGGAGTTAGTGTCATTATCTTACCTCACACATAAATGTCACTCTCTGATTGGCTGAGCACTCATCTATTATTTTCAATGTACCCCGCTTACAAGCGAGTAACATTTCAATGTACCCCGCTGTCAATGGCAACTTATTTGGTACTTCACGGTAGTAATTCTTTATCTCTAATAACATTGAATCACGTATGATGTACGGAACTTACCGATGTTTTGCGAATGCAAATCGATGGAAAGCAGATAACTCTAAATCTGTTTTTCTTGTCAGCAAAATCTAGCGATGGCTACAAAAATATTTGTACCCGTGCTTCAAACAATTCGAAATTAACATCATATAATGTGTTCTAACATCCGAGAAAATCCAGATTAGAATTGCTCAACAACCCATGCTTGTCGTATAAAGCGACTAACAGGATCGGGTGGTCTGGCTTGCTGACTTGGTTGACCGTCATTGTATCCCATTTGCGTAGATTGATGCTCATGCTGTTGATCACTGGACTGTCTGGTCCAGACTTGATTATTCACAGACTGACGTTATATAGCTGGAAAATTGCTGGAGTGCAGTGTTAAACAAAACCCACAAACACTGCTGCTATTGCTACTTGTGAGATGCTGTGTGTTTTGGAGGTTTAGTTGTGAGGCATGCTTGGTTTAATGACTTGTTATTCATGCCCCAAACTCCATCTTTAAATGTTTGATACTACCAAATTGATTGGCATGCAGTTTATGAAAGTTGAGTGACATGATTATGTGTCATGGAGGGTTTGATGCAGCTGGTCCTGAATGTTTTGATTATATCCCATTACAGTTGGTCATAACATAGACTGACATTCAATCTCTGAAACACACATATGTTTACAACAAATAAAGGGGCCCAGAAAAGTTTCTTGATTCAGGGACCCAAGATTAGAGCCAATCACAATTTGCCCACTAATTCCAAACCATTTGCAATTTATTCCCTAGTGGCATAGATGCAAACTAGTCATATTACAAATCGGTGCTTTGCCTCATCCAGTATTAAAAGTCGGGAAAGTTCATGGACGACAACTTCTTTATTATAGGGATATGATACTGTCACGTCAGTCTATAGTCCATTTGGGTTCAAATATGAGAACGATGAATGATTAAATAAATCGAAATATTTATGTTTTGTGTCCTTATAGCTAAGACACATGGTCCTGAAACCTCTGACTGACTGCCTGAGTTTGGTTTTACGCCGCTTTTAGCAATATTCCAGCAAAATCACGGCGGGGGACACCAGAAATGGGCTTCATACATTGTACCCATGTGGGGATTCGAACCCGGGTCTTCGGCGTGACGAGCCAACGCTTTGACGACTAGGCTACCCCACTGCCCCCTGAAACCTCTGTACCTAACAGGATCTGAAATATGACGTTTCAGGATCGATCATGGAAAAAGTTATTTAAGAACCCATCATGTGCTATTTCACAGTTAACACTGAGGGGTGACAAACGCCACGCGATTCAGGTGCAACTGAGCACAGACAGGGGAGATTACCCCTACCAGTCAGGAAACAGCTGGGTTTGAACCCAAACGGACTGTATGATGCAACAAAGCACTTGTCATCTATAGACTATCCTACCTTTCATATTTCTCACCAACTTCTAAAATACCAGTCAAACAGATTCTATCCAGTTTTGTCGCCACAAATAGGTGTAATACAGGTGATGCAGTGTAAAGCAATATTTATTCATTGGTCCATTATGGAATATTTACAGGCCGTATTACATAGCTTGACTTCAAACGTGACATTGATAGACATCAGAGACAACACCACAACCGTCTATCTGCATAGTTTTATTCCAATTTCTGTACACATTGTACAAAACATATCCAGCAGATATTAAGCTGACATCCTGTACACGATACTTGTTAAACAAAGATGTCTTATCCCATATATATAGAATACATGTTTGGTCAGTCTTACATTACACCACAAAGCCATGAACAGCCAGATCTGACACCCAAGCCCCAGAACATGGATAATAGTCATTATCACAGACTTAAATAAATACATCCATGCCTAGTTGGGGTCAACTGCAGGGCAGTCATGTTTGACCAAAAATAATAAATGTGTACTTTGTCTTCATCTGTAGAGAAAGAAAATGATATTAGAATAAGCTCAATTTCATATTCACTGTATAATTGGAGTATAAAGTAAAAAATGATTCTGTGTGTCAAAAAGAAACTTGTGCCAATAAACAGTGGTTGAGTTTGAATTAGTTTTGAAGCTTTCTGATATTACAACAATCGTTCCGGAAAGCAAAATGAGTGATGAGCTCTGCATCTTTGGGCAAATCTACACAAAAAGTTTGAGTTTTACATGCTTTACCCTTGTCAGGAATCAACCATGGGTCTTGGATCGACAATTGAACACAATAGCTACTGGGCTACCCCATTACAGTCCGTTTGAGTCAGAAACGGACCGATGCATTGCAAATTTGATCATTGTACAAAATTGCCACAGAAATATAAAAATAGTACACGTTTATCATTTACTAATACCCAACAGCTTTCTTATATTTGAAAATTTTCCGGACTCCACCAAAAAGTTGTTTAAGAAACTATCATCATTGAAAACGCAAAAGTTGTTATCTGTCGCGGCGGGGTGAAACTGCAGAAACGGAACAGACACTATCTCATTGCAATTCATCGGTCCGTTTCTGACTCAAATGGACTGTAGGTTTAAATCATGGCTGTCTCAATTTTCACACAAAGGTACTAGAAACAGATTTCAATGTGTGGGTAATATCTCAGTATTTGTTTCTGTTTTAATAAACAACATACAGATGTTTGAAATATTAAACAGATGCAAGTAAACTTGTTTACTTTGTCCTGTGTACGGTAACTAAGCTACTCTGACACCAGATTTGTCAGTTCCCAATATCACATGTGGATATTTTATGGCACTTCATTTAGCTCTACAATTCGCTGATTATGATAAAATTGAATATTGCTGTACATGCTGTTCATGGCGAACATTTAACAACATAATTTATCAAGCAGTACATCTTCGTACATGTGTGTTCAGATCTGGATGTTCTTTGTGCGATTATCTCTCAATCAAATACTACTAATGCGGGATTACATCGGTGTTCATGTGACTGGGTCTCACACTCTGTCAGTCATTAACTGTCCATAATCAAATATAGTGTTAATATTGGCTTGCATACACATTGCACTGTCATAAATTGTCCTTCAGAACAACATCTGTGCTGTCACTCTGAAAGTGAGATCAACATCATGACTTCAGCTTTACAAGATAATGTCATAAAATATTTAGTAATCAACTTGTTAATTATTGGGATATTATTCATCTAAATCAAATAACCTTGATCAAATCTCTCATTCTTACCATGCTTACAGGGAACAAAAATGTGTTTTTTTAAATTATACTGGTCTTTCACATAAAACAGACCTATGTGTTACCAGACGAACGATAAGTCTCTGAAAACATAGTTTGATACAAATAAATCCACTTAAATTGAAAAGATGTCTCAGTGGCATGGGAGATTCAGAAAGTGAATCGGGGGGGGGGGAGAGGGAGGAAAAAAATAAAAAATTTACGTTTCATATTTGACTTTAGCATTACAGAAAGGGCAGGGCTGGAAGAAAACATGATTCACAGACTCAGACAGACTGAAATAGATCCAGTTTCTATGGATACTGCTGTATCAGCTAGCAATTCTCTAATTCTGATCATGTGACCCACAGCAGTTGTATTTTGACCAAGTTTGGGAAGTAACTTTTTCGTTATGTGACACCAGCCGTGGAGGACCACATCGTAATCTTGTAAGTCAAAGGTCTCGTATAAATATCTAAGCGTCAAGGTGATTGCAACTCAAATACTTTCAAAAAATCTTTTGATATTAGTAGAGCTAAGATTTTTTAAAGCAATAATGACAAAATGATGTCCACAAAATAATCTTGGCACTAAGGAAGGATGGCAATATGTGGATGAACAACTTCTTTATTACAGCGAGAGTGATGTTTCGGTGTAGGTTCTAACACCATTATATACCTACACCAATAAAGAACTTGTTCATCCATATCTTGTCATCCTTCCTCAGTGCTCAAACTTCTAAATGCCTCTCAAACAAGTAATCTTAGCACTATTACTGTTGCAACTCAATGGTCACCTGAACACAAAGATCGACTTTTAGACTTAGGGTACTGGGCCTAGATTTTCGAAACTCTCTTAGCGCTAAGATAGTCGTAAGTGCCATACATTAACATTAACTTACAACTATCTTAGCGCTAAGAGAGCCTCGAAAATCTAGGCCCTGTTTAACAAAAAGATCTTAGCACTACGACTACTGAAAATCTGTGTTATGGTACGGGAGTTATAATCATCATTGTACGCAGACACCTTGGTGGCTGGGGCCTTCATCCTCTCACACCATTGAGCCATTCATAAAGCCACATTAGCACTTTGACAGTCAAATCAAATACTTAAATACAGACTTATGACAGAAATAGCACTGAACTGTATGTGGCCTGTGGGGATTGTTACAGCTCAGGTTTGAGCATTCGGACAATTTCTCCACCACTTCAATCACTGCATTTTCAAAAACCTGAATATAAATTGTGACTTCAAAATCTCCAAACATACCCATCCCACATCGCCTTCCTTTGAAACAATACAGCCGTCAGGCCTGGACATCCTGTTGCACAACCCATATCCCTTCACCATATACAGGGAGATAGAAGGTAAAGATACTGCATGACAATGGACAGGATATCACCAGTTTCAACTTTAGTCTTCAAGTCTAGCTAGGAGAATCTTATTGATCATCTTTTAAGAAAACTATTACTTTTCTTCTAAAACTAGACATGACAGTGTCTCTCTCCCACAAACAAAGCAAAAATCATTCTTCTCAAAGAGGGTGTGACATTGCACTGTTCCTTCAAGAAAATATATTATTATGCGATGAACAAAAGCATAAGCTGATAAAACTTCTACACTGACGAGCTGATGAAACATCTCCAGAAATTAGAAACATCCATCTTAAAATAATGAAGGGAGGTAAACCATGACAGCACCAGTCCCTGAAGTACTCTGTTCAGAAATTCAATTCCACAACTTCTACAAGACACATGCTTGTTTTCTGATAAAAAAAATAAAAGAAAGCAACATATTGTTGCAAATAAATGTTTAAACTTCACATAAAATTAGGAACTAATGTACATGAAACCCATTGGGATAAAAATGAACTGGAAGCCATACATCAAGCTATCCAACACAACTGAAACAAACTGTAGCGATAACTGAAAATGTCACATTTGTAACAATGTGTTTCCATTGTGGAATTGCATGTTTGAATGCAGGGGACTGATGTGTAAGGTTTGGATTCTTTCAAGACAAACAGAATGAGCTGTATTATGATCAAGCAGCTCAGGAAAACCCTTGACCTTGAACTCCCCAGGAAAAACCTTGACCTTGATGCACCACTCACTCTCCACCATGATCCTCTTCAATGAAATTTGCTGCAGGTGTTCACACTGAATTTTCTTTTATTTATTCATCAGTTGTGTATCAATCAATGAGAAAATAGAATAAGAATTATATAACGTCAGCAAGTCCTTCAGGGATGTTACCAAGGAGATCGTAAAGTAACAGGCTAACAAAGGATGACAGTGTGTTCATGTACAACTCTAATGTCTTGCACTAAGTTCTTTCAGAGACATATAACCAACAGATGGATATTAACAGGTAAACCAGTTTTGTCTCTCAACTGTTATGATTAGTTACTCTATACTGGAAATACAAAACGTTTAGGCAACAATATTATTCATTGGAAGTTTCTGCTGAAGCAGTACATAAAATTGGGCAGTGGGCGCGCACTTAGGAAGAATTTAACAAATAGCACTTTTAACTCAAAATTCTGACTCACCAAACTTGATTGCAATGCTTCGTGTCTTGATCTTGCTTATGTACGAGAATTTCTGAGCTTCACGCTTTTCACTAGAATCATCGGCTTGTCTCGTTGACATTTTCATGTCTTCCCCATCAAGAATTGTAAAACTTCAACTCTCCAGATCAGTCTAGAGATTTCTAAACACCACCTATGTATTTCTCAGGGATTTTAGAAGATGTCCTCAGACTATGGTACTTGAAGATAGCAGTCACTGACAGCAAAGATTCCAATTTGAACTGAAAACTCCCCAATTTCCTAACAATTTAAGAAAACGTGAATATTAAAATAAATATTTTTTTAACAATTCCATATTTCCTTAAGATGCCTGCCAAATTCACTTGGTTCATAATCCAAGGTAAATCTCTTGACACACTTGAAATCTATCTGCTTGCAAAATACAGATGGCAGACAGCAAAGTTTGGACAATCAACATCACTTTCCACAAATCTTGGGCTAAAAGGCTTGATAACATTTGTTTCCAAACAACTGATAGAAACAGCACTTGGTGATGGCAGAAAAACTTAAACATTAATGTTGGTATCTCAGCTGATGACAACGTACATTGTGTAAATACATACAAGAGACTATCTGTCTATCTTCTCTGACTTCTGTGTAACATCTTCACAAGAAACAACACAAATAGGTCACTACCAAAACAGCTATTACCAAAGGGACCACTACTTATTTAGAAAGAAATGCATATCGAGCATTCATACCAATGATTGCTAAAAGTATGAAAGAATACCTTTCTAACACTACCCCTCCTGAAATTCTTGTCCTGCTTCCTTTATGATGACTGACTGACTGACTGACTGAGTTTGGTTTTACACCGCTTTTAGCAATATTCCAGCAACATCACGGCGGGGGACACCAGAAATGGGCTTCACACAATGTACCCATGTGGGGGATTCGGCGTGACGAGCCAACGCTTTAACCACTAGGCTACCCCACTGCCCCAGCTTCCTTTATGACTACACCAATGCATATCATTTATTCCACTTAAATAATATTTTGTACAATGACATGTCCCCATAGGTTATCAATGGTTACCCAGCAGCTTGGACTCCTCTTTCCTCTACACTTACAATAACCTCGCCCATTTACTTTGGTCACACCTTGCGAGACCAAGAGACGGTAATTGTTGGTTCTGAAATAGCTCTGCAGTCACTGTACAGAAAGATAATGACTAATCTTGGTCCACAACTACACAGCATCTCCCCCCATCACGAAAAACAAAATAATTGCTTAATATATGCACATATCTTCATTAAAACAAACAGAGTATTCTTTCTAAAATCTGTGCACCGACATGAAAACCGAAATAACTGATATACTTTCACTCACACTTCTTCCGACTTAATCCTACTCCCTGGACATGAATTGCAACCAAACATTTAAACAATTAACAACAATTAAAAAGGCATAAAAACTGAAAAAAATCCACTGGCCTGAATTAACATTTTAAGGAAAATATTTTCCTGGGTGGACATGACAAAAGAAATCTACTAATTCTTCTTATTATCATAAATATTCTTAAAATCGCCATTTTACAGCCTTATCTTAGTTTCATCTTTAGACGGCTAACTAAAAACTATTCTAACATACATAGAGTTGTTGTAAATCTGTTTAATATTCGTTTGGCACACATACAACATCACCAATCAATAGACAATCACAAGCAATCTCTACGTCATCAAAGGCACATTTCTACAGTTCTACGTCAGTTGTTGACAGTCATGCGAGTATGTACAGTGCTCCAGAAGATGTGGATATCAACGGATATCAGAACAAACATGGTATCCTGAGAACAAGATACATATCAGAGCCCGTACACCACCAATTAATCTTCTTACAAAATACACACTATGTTCAAATAGCAGTAGAAGGATAATAGAACTGTACTAAACATAAAGTGCCAGACTTGAAAGCTGTTAAGTCTCAATATCAATTGAAAAATAATTATATTAAGATACCGATTTTACATAGATTTCAGAACTGATATTGAAGTTTGTTTGTTATTTATATTGCCGCACTCAGCAATATTTGAGCTAAATGACTGCAGCTGTTTGAACAATTCAGTCTGGACCAGACTATTCTGGGATTCATAATGTGAGCAACGATCCACGCCACTCGACGACACTCAATCCCCAACACCCAATCTGTTTGGCAACCAGTACAGGCTGCTGGAGAACACCACCCGATCTGTTTGGTCGCCTCTGGCAACCAGTACAGGCTACTGGAGAACACCACTCGATCTGTTTGGTCGCCCCTGGCAACCAGTACAGGTTGCTAGAGACCACCTGAAACCCAAAATGCCCATCAGTGTTTTACTGAAGATAGCGGGCCACAACATCTCACATAGCAATTCTTTACACCCACATACATTCTGTAACTAGTGAAACGCTGATGAGAAGAAAGAGTTCAGTAAAACCAATGAAAATTACAGTAGTTATGTCCTCCTGAACTAAATGCCTTCATAGAACAGATTACAAACAGTAGCCATCTTGGCACGACATGGCAGGATATTTACAGTCACCTTAACACAGCTTAGCCTACAGTGATTTGATAGTGGTACCTACGTCACAATCAAATCTGCCGAAATCACTAACAGCTTGTGACAACACATTAAACCATTGTTTTCCTAACTACTTTGGCACCAAATATAATATGATCAAAACCTGAGGAAGATAATCCAATTATGCAGGTGATACAGAGAAATTATTTATAAGGAATATTAACACTGAATACAGAGAAGAAATTTTAAAAACAAATTATTTTTTTAGTTGAATCACAACATTTCAATGTTAAAATCGGATACTGGCAAGAAACTAATGTGAAGTGCTTGTCAGTAACATAAAAATCCTCTGCCCAAGGCCAATCCTTTACAGAAACATCTGGTACAAGGAAAGGGCTGAAACAGGGCAGATTCCAAATTATCCTGGTGATTAAAGCAGGATATGTTTGATTTGCCACATATTTTGACATGCTATTGATTCAGCACTGAAACCTCTTCTCAATACAGGGAAGCCATAGTGGTCCAACCATGCACAGGAGCAATCTAAACACAGGGATGAGAATGAAGTTTTGAGAAAAACTCTGAAAACTAGCCGGGGGTTTAGCATCTATCGCATTTAGGCGATTCACAAAATGACACTTGGCCTAATGAAATTTCCGGAATTCCACGGATCCGCAGAAAATTCTCATCCCTGTAAACAGCACAGCTGAATTTGAAAGGCGTGGCATGGCTTCAGGATATATGAACTCAAATTTTCTGCCTGTTACTGTTATCAAAATGCAAGTTATTTTTCTTAGAAATCTTTTCCACTTTATTCTTCAATTTTTATTTTTTTTTGTATTAACCCAATTTGGCCATTTTTATTATTTTTATCACCACCCACCTAAAGATGAGAGAAACTCTGTAAACCAAGTAACTGAAACACAGATGCTTATCATCATTACTGGTGGTTCCTTCAGCCATAATGAAACCATTTAACACAGACATCAAGGGTAGTTTGTTGTTCCTATATCAGTATGTATTATGGTTAGCTTTGCTTGATGCCAAATACAGAACTCATCAAATTGCTAGGATAGGACTATATTATGAGTACAAGATTATGTCAAGATTTAGCAATAATAACTTATTAAGACAGGAGAGTATGAAGCAGACAGGGTTTTTAAGTTGTTGTTGTTTTTATTACAATTGACTACTGGTACATCATTGTGGTATTAATCAGACATTCTTAATTTTTATGATAAAACCAGAAGGCTGCATTGTTCATCTGATTGTTATTCAGGCTACAATTTTCTTTTCCAATTTGAAAAGAAAATTGGAACATTCTATTTCACTAGTAGAAAAAGGGTTGGCATTTAACAATGTTTAATTTCAATTTTCACTACTTGTTTGATTGAGATGCCACACTGTCGTATGTTTGGATTATATTTTCTATTCCCCCCCCCAACTGATAATATCTCGAGATCAATTAAACAAACTATAGAACATATACAAGGGGTATATATTTTTTCAGACATTACCCTATGGCTTTACAAAATACACCTGATAACCAAGTCACTTAAAAACAAAAGACGCTTTAAGTATTTTTGGAAGTCATATGTTCATACAACAGCTGAAGACACCAAGCACAGGGTTTACATACCCTGAGAAGTTGAACCAAGTCTAAGTGAGACAGGCTAACGCTACCTCTACACTACCACTGGACGTCATCCTCATCTTCTGCAGGCGGCATGCAGCTCACAGAATCATCATGAATCCTCACAATAACAGGTGTCCTCGACACACACAATAAATACAAGTCATCTTTTAATTGCCAGGGAAGCTAGACGTACTATGGGTTCCTTTGGTTTCAGGTGGATAATGTGGCATAATGGTGATGTCACTTTGACCTCAGCAGATTAAAACCTTGAAATGTTAATGACTTAATAAAATAATGACTAAAACAGTCTGAGAGTCACAAATACATAATTCTTCAAAAGACAAACACACAGTTGGAATTGTTGATTTGTACAAGTACTGTACAATGACATACAATTTGGAGTTCATTCTTGGAGCATGGCATGTCCTAACATTTGAGAATCCTAAACATGCCTGGCAACCTCTCGTATCATTATTGCCATGGCGACAAACAAAATGACCAGATTAAGTTTAGGGGAAACTACAAACTAAAAGGACAATTCTCATTCATACATTGACTGTATTCTCAATACATCATACCTCTCTCCACATACCAGTGGTATGTACTCAACAGCAGCTCACTCAAGTAGTGATAACTTATCTGTACACAAACATGACAACAGTGATCTCCCTTGGTCACTGATCAATGCTAACTTTACATTATATACAATATAATACAATAAGAATCACTCAACATGGTGAAAAAACACCATTACTCCATAAAAAATGTCCATATTATTTGAATTATCCTATGTTAAAATGTCTAGTTAAGAGTTAAAGAGCTAGATGGGCTTGTATAACAAGGTCGTCACATATTTCTTCCTAAATCTGTGGGTAGCGCTTAAAACCATCACACCATCCTGAAACGATAAAAATACATTTTCTTCTGATATGCATTCATATATGTTGTCTTAATACATTCACCAATGTACAAATAAGCATAAGTATCATAAATCACAGGTTGCATTTGGCTTACTAAAATTCACAAGGCTAAACTGATGAGAACATTGACAACAATAACCAACATGTTTTCTTTCAAACCATTCTGGATGTTCCAAGAGAAAGTACAAACATTATGGATAAAATGCACAAAAACAGGATATTTGAAATTCTGTAAACAAGCCTGTAACAAATGCTGAATGATCCCTAGTAAGTTAATCCTACAGGACTGTATAGTGTTAGCGCTAAGTTGATCGTAACTCCTATACTTTAACATAGACTTACAACTGTCGTAGCGCTACGATCGGCTTGAGGAACAGGGCCCAGGACTGTATAGTGTTTAAACCTACAGACTTGTACTATGGTTAATCCTACAGACTTGTACTAAGGTTAATCCTACAGAACTGTACCAGGTTTAATACTATAGTACCTTTTAGTTCTGTATTGAGTTCAATTTCACTAGAATGTATAGATATATTGCTTACCTTTATTGATAAGGCATAAAGATGGTTGAGCATCACATGATTGGGCTCTGGCAGTAAAGTAGGCTCACACTGGAACGTAAACAATATTCTCTGCAAACAGTTACCATGGTTACCTTATAACAAGGGTTGGATTGTTACATTTATCTGTTCTAGTTAACTGCTGCGGTCAGCAATATTCCAGCTATCTCAAGATAGCCTGTAAATGATCAAGTCTGGGCCAGACAAACCAGTGATTGGCACTATGAGAAACATTCCACGGTCACAAGATTATGGGATCCAGTCAGTTCTATCATACAACCAGAATATTCTTGTCTAAGATATATGGCGGCATGTATTCATCTCAGATACAGACATGAATCATGTCACAGAACAGCTAGCACTGTGGACATCAATTAAACTGCAAACTGATGCATGGATTTATCTAGTGAATGAGTTTAGTTTTATGCCACTTCTAGCAATATTCCAGCAATATAACGGCAGGGGACACCAGAAATGGGTTTCACACATTGTGGGGAATGGAACCCGGTTCTTCTGGTGTGACGAGCTAACGCTTTAACCAATAGGCTACACCACTGTCCCAAATTTATCTAGACCTGATCCACGTCAGCAGAAAATTAGAGTAAATATTCCCCAATCACAACAAAGAATTTCCCAAATCAAGTTCATATGGTTGGAAATGAGACAATGACTTTGCTTGTAGTTTTCATTTATAACAGGTTGAACACAAAGATATGGCTCCAATACAAAATTTCAATTTATTGTATTTAAATTTACAATAAAATATGAAGAAAAAAAAGGGCCCAATTTCAGGAGTACTGTCAGAAATCCCGAAGACTCTCAGACATATACTTCTTTGGTGAACCTCAGGTTCAGAGAAACAGAAAGATTAGGTGTAGGCACTTAAAACATGGCCGCATGGCATTGAGTTCAGTGTTGTATAAGCGGCCTTAATATTATAAGACACATAATTAGGGTAAACTAGGAGTCAAACCCAGAAACAATGATATGGGACATAACTCTGCACAGCAAATGTTGCAGCCTAAACGATCGGGTCAGCCAGGGTCCTCACTGTGAAGTAACAGCTGCTTACATGAGCTGGTGTGTCTTTGTTGAGAATGACTTGAAGAAGCTGTGGGGGTAAGATGGGGGGACCAGGCTGTTTGACGTCTGTTCTCCGTACAGGAATGTCTTGACCATAATCAGTGGGAGGCGAACCTGTGTCAGGAGTTTCTTCTGCAAGAAAGTTTTGAAAGATTTCAAATCTTCAGATACTGCAACACGTCAATCTATTTGACAATGAAATGTACCATGTATTTATCATGATCACTGTTATTTCCTAATTATTTCTTCTTAATTCGGTAAAACTGTTTCTACATGTATAAAAGATCAACTCTGATTCTTAACTTAATCCACATGATCCATTCACAATGAAGCAGTCAAATAACATGATAGATAAATGACTTCCAGTGCTAGAAAGAAAAGTGATTTTCCAGTGCTCGACAGACAAATTATTTCCTTCCAGTGTCAGAGAGGAAAATTACTTCCAAAGCTAGACAAAGAAGTTATTTCTAGTGCTAAATTGACAATCAAGCCACAAATGTACTCACGATGTTTGCGGGAGGTATTGGTTGTCCTACTATCAATCGCTAGTGCTTCAAAAACTTCAAAATCTGTCTTTTTTACTTTCACAACATTATTTAATGTACCCATTTCATTATTTGATGTAGGCTGAAAAGAAAAAACAATATAGTCAGCAAGAGATCAAAGGGAGATAACTCCACTCAAAAGTAAACATTTGCAGACATTTGTAGGATCACATTTTATTCCATCAAAACATTTTCATATCTTATTGTTACTGAATTATCTCACCATTAAAACCACCATATTGCAAGTCACTTCAGTCAACGTTTGCCTGAACCATTCACAAAGCTGAATAACAACTTAAAAATTGAAATCATGATTGTTTGACTGATTGATTGTTGTTTAACACCGAACTCAGCAATATTCCAACAATATGGCGGCGGTCTGTAAATAATCAAGTCTGGACCAGACAATCCAGTGATCAACAGCTTGAACATTGATCTTACGCAATTGGGATACGATGACATGTGTCAACCAAGTCAGCGAGCCTGACCACCCGAACCTGTAAGTCGCCTCTTACGACAAGCATGGGTAACTGAAGGCCAATTGTAACGCGTATCTTCAAGTGTCTGCGTGTCATGAGAATTGAACAAATGAAACAAGTGGTCAGGCCTGTGACCTGGCTAATGGTGTGTCAACACAGACTGAAAGAATAGAACATTGCCCACTATACCAATCACCAGACTGTCCAATCCAGACTATTGGACAGATTATTTGCCATCCGCCATCATGTACTACAGTGCTACTGAATGCAACATTTAACACAAATACAACAAAAACACTTGATGTGTGGTAGTGAGTCTTACCTCATTTGGATTATGAATCCACTGACCGTCAACATAGAACTTATACTGGTGATCACCTTCCGGTAAGTCTACTATTGTATAAAAATCACCATGGCTGAAATTCAAATAATGTAATTTTTTGAGTAAAATTGATATTTTATACTTATCCTGACTCATGCTCTTTTTGCTTGTCTCCTTCCTCTTGCGAACATAGTGGAACACTTGTATCTCCCTAATTGAAGTTCCCTTCAATGTAAAATCACTAATTAGTACACCACGAGTTACCTCCCTTCCACAAGCGCGGGAACGAGGGCGCCACCTCTACCCATGTGCCTCACTCTCTCCTCATATACTGAGGCCCAACATTTGAATTTACAGGGAAATCCAAAGTGTTATTTGGGGGAGGATGGGAGGGCTGACCTCATGAGTCAGGATAAGTATAAAATATCAATTTTACTCAAAAATTACATATTTTCCTTATCCTGACTCATCTCTTGCTTGTAGAATCCAACAAGAGGAGGTGGGAATATATAATACTTTGGATTTTAATAATTAGTGATTTGAACTGTGATGATTGTAATAACCCTATGGGAACTTCATAAAGGCATTGAACTGATGAATTCCTGCTGCCAGCTTATCAGCTGCCATATAGAGGTTATTACAATGTATATTATGATAAGTATATATAATATTAATACAATGCTTAAGACTAATAGACTTAAGCTTGTTAATATGCTAGTATAAACTCCTTAGAGTTTGTTAGCTAAAATACTTTAAGATATAAACATAGCACTAAGCTTAAAATATGATTAATTTTAAGCTAATTATATAATAACAAACCTCTTTAGGGTTTGTTAGTTAAAATATTTATATGATATAGACAGTGCTGAGCTTAAGATATGAATAAGCAGCTATATATATAACAACAAACTTTGTAGAGTTTGTTAGCTAATACATTTTACAATATGAGTATAGTATTGTGCTTAAGATATAATTATCTTAAGCTACATATATAATAGCCAAACTTAGTAGAGTTTGTTAGCTAATATATTTTTACAATATGAGTATAATACTGTGCTTAAGATATAATTGCTTAAGCTACATATATAATAGCCAAACTTAGTATAGTTTGTTAGCTAATATATTTTTACAATATGAGTATAGTACTGTGCTTAAGATATAATTAACTTAAGCTACATATATAATAGCCAAACTTAGTAAAGTTTGTTAGCTAATATATTTTTACAATATGAGTATAGTACTGTGCTTAAGATATAATTAACTTAAGCTACATATACAATAGCCAAAAACTCTGTAGAGCTTATTAGCTAATAGATTTATAATGTAACCATAGTACTAAGCTTAAGATATGATTAGACTTAAGCTAAATGTATATAAGCAAAAACTCCTTAGGTTTATTAACTAATATACTTTTATGTTATAAACATAGTACTGAGCTTAAGATATGATTAAACTTAAGCTATATATATATAATAGTAAAACTCCATTAGAGTTTGATAGCTAATACATTTTATTATGTTGATTTAGACCTAGTATTGAGCTTAAGATATGAAGTAAACCTTAAGCTAAATATATAATAGCAAAAAACCTTTTAGAGTTTTAATAGCTAATATACTTATATGGTATCAACATAGTATTGAGCTTAAGATATGAAGAAACCTTAAGCTACATATGTATATACAAAAACTCCAGTAGAGTTTGTTAGCTAATACATGATATAATGTAACCATAAAGCTTAAAATATGATGAAAACTTAAGCCCAATATATAATAGCAAAAAACTCTTTTAGAGTTTTGATAGCTAATATACCTATATGCTATAAACATAGTACTGCGCTTAAGATATGAATAAGCTTAGAAGTTACATATATAATAGCAAAAAAACTCCATAGAGTTTGTTAGCTAATACATGTTATAATGTAACCATATTGCTTAAGATATGATGAAACTTAAAGCCAAATAGCAAAAGCTCTTTAGAATTTGTTAGCTAATATAGTTATATGATATAAACATAGTACTGAGCTTAAGATATGAATGAGCTTAAGCTACCTATATAATATGAAACTCCGTAGAGTTTGTTAGCTAATGTATATTTTACAATATGGTATAGTACTATGCTTAAAATATACTTGACTTAAGCTACGTATATAATAGCCAAAAAAAACTCTGTAGAGTTTGTTAGCTAATGCATTTATCATGTAACCACTGTGATGATAAAAAACGAGCTTAAGCAAATTATATATAGCATGAAGCTATTTAGTACTGTTATAAGATAAGTAAAAATCTGTAAGATTGACTTATCTTCTCGAGGAACTGTCAACTGTTGTGCAAGGACCATGGGATCAAATTGGTGGATACCTGAGATGTCCTCGGTGGTGATATCTCTCAGATAATGGTTGGCAACCACCATATCGGATCTACAGTAATAAACCCTTCATTATTTCAAATAACATTTGTGTAGATGAAATTGTAGAAGTTAAGCTCTAATATCAAAGAGTATTAAAGCTCATGGAGGGTTCGGATTAGGTCCATCTGTCTTGTATGCGTAGTATGACAGTTCTGATCCAAGCGGAGATATAGTACATTGAGACTACACTCTCGTTAAAGTTGATGATAGAGGAAAAAATCTGTTGTATTTTTTTCTTCCTGTTTGGTTTGGTGGAGATAAATTTACAGTGCTCTTGCTGGCCAGCGTGATAGCATCATCGTATCATGGAGTCAAGTATGTCATCCAGGCATGTTCATAAACCTCACTTGTGAGGTGTTGTAACCTATATTCATATCCCCAAGTTGGTGCGTGAAACTTCCGTTTATTCTCAAACAGAAACTTAGTAGGTTTACTAACCATCTAGTTGTGTTAGTAGCTTGATGATGAAATTCAGGTGTAGTCTGAAGCGCTGTGGATTTCGATCCACTTGTATCCGTCGTCTAGGTAAATCGTTGCGATGTCCTTGGCGATGTATGTCTACAACCGGGAGTTTGTGTCCTCGATGAACTTTATGTAAAATCGCCTGACTGTTGTGCCCTTGTCTAAACTTGACAGGGGAGGTCTCTAACCTGAAGAAAGCAGCCTAATCCTGAAGGTTCAGGTTAACTGGGCTGTAAGGAGGAGGCTTGCTTCGTTCATTGATATAAAGTTGTCACTTGCAACCTATGTCTTGAACTGTGAACTATGCTCACGACCTCTGTGTAGAGGCGTTGTTCATCGGGGTCCAATCAGAATAAGGCATTTTGATTCTGTAGAGTACCAGCTGTGATGTCATACCCGGTGTAGCAGGAAAAGGAACCTTGTATAATATAGTGCCGTCGTTGATATTAGAACAATGCGTCGGTCTTCATCGTAACTTCGAAGTTACCCGAGTGATGCGTGTTTGAGGATTAATGGTAAAGCGAAAGCTTGGTATAAAATACCTCGCTCTGTAATATTAATGCTGGGTAGGTTATTTTCCTGGCTGTCGTGAAAGTGCTTCAGTTTTGAATATAATTCCGACTTCTTTATATATAAAGGTACAATAACTTGTAAGTTGTCAGCTTGTAGACTGTATACATGAATGTATCGTCATAATTGTAGAATTAAAGCTGAATTTGTTGTACATATTTCTTCTCAGAAATGTTGGCGATTATGAGTTATACTACGCTGTAACAAGGCTGCTGTTCAATTTCGATATTGAATTGTCTGCAGATATGCGTAATGGTCGCATGTAGATAATCGTATCGTCGTCCGGGATTGCATATACTAGCAATTTATCACGGAATAGTTGATTTCTGTGAAGATCTATGAAAGCGTCGTTGACAAATTAATACAGCGGCGTTCTGTGTTGTAAATAGCCTGTGCAATTGTCTTGGCGTAGGCTTATAGGCGGCATCTGGCATACAGTTGATAGACAACTTATGCGATGTCTTGAAGCGGACTGAGGAGTAGCTATATATGACGAGTGGCTAGTATATGGAGACCTTGGAGGAGACTTCCTCGGTGAGCGCCGGAGACTGCACGAAGCTCTGAAGTATCCCTTCTAGATCTACTGGTGAAGTAGACTTGGAGCCACTTAGCCTTAGCGACCTTAGCGAAGGTATCGAGAATCAAAGTCGATTAGAATATATATATATATATATATATATATAAAGGCTTAGCCAGCGAATGGCCTCTGTGTTTAACAGGATGTGGGGTCGTGGCGCTTCTCCTCCTTGACGTCCCTTGTAGCTGGTGAGGCTCTAGCTCCTTCGCGGAATGACCTGGGACTTACTGGTTCTGCATAAGTAGGGCGAGTGGATCATCTTATCATTTTCAGAAGTAGGTATTCACGAAATCTGGCGATAAGTGTCTCAATGATAAGTTCTAGATCTATTTAGGCCAACGAACATACGTCTCGTCATGGATTCAACTGAACCAATTCACGATTGTAGTTCTTATTGTTGATATCGATGATCAACCTGTAGTTTTCATCGATGTCTTAAGCATTGAAGAAGGGTCCATGTTGTCGCGTGGAAAACTTCTAGGCGTGAAAGTTCGGCAATTATGGTGTCTGAACTTTGTGGCTTTATGGGATGCTATGTCTAGATTCTGTGTGCTACGCGCAATGAATTCGTCGGAGGAGAGGTAGTGATAGCATCTGCGTCGTCTTCCTTCATCAGGTATGTCTGCGTCGTACTGCCACTCTAGGAAGGTGATGTAGACTTTGTGTGCAGACTTGTGTGGTAACCTGTGAGGCGATCGATGGTGATGATGTCGAGGAGATCGGAGACTATTGACAGCTTGCGAAGCTCTTGAGTAGTCCCTTGACTCTGTTAAATGACGATCTATATTCGGTGTCCTTCGAGTGCCTTCGCGAATGCCAGCCCGAGCCTTTACTTCCTGCCAGCCAGCGAGCGCCGAGCGCGAGCGCCAGCGCCGCCGAAGCTTCCTCGTTGATTGCTGGGGAAACGGCGATTTGAGCTTAGCGAAGGCTTCCGTGAGGTCTGGTGGCTGAGTCTGCATCTAAGGATGAAGCGAGGAATGTGATGATCTATCCCGCCGAAGGCCTTAGCGAAGAGCTGTACATCTGGGTCCGCCGTCAAGGTGGTCTGCGACTTCGCCTTGTGAAGGCTGCATCGTCTTGGCTGCTACGTTGACTGGAGGTGCCTCTAGAGTGTTGTCTAAGTTGGAGCCTTAGCGAAGGCTGCGTACTCTGGGCTGGCTGCTTCTCCAGTTTGTAGTGACCCTCCATCACGACCATGATTTGCCGTAGTAGCTTCGTCTGGGATGGTCTGCGGCGAAGTAGTGGGTGCCATCTCGCAAGCTGTTAGTGGGGGCCCTCAGGTAAGTCGTCTGACATCAGTGTAGAGACATCAGGCTGCATGGCGATCTCTGCTGATGTCATTGTAGCTGTCACCGGTCGCTACTTGTCTTGTCTCTCGTCGGGGATGATGATGGCTGATCATCGTAGAGCCAAGTTCAGCGGCTGGAACAATCTCGGTTGAGAAAGTCCTAGTAGACCCGTTTGAATTCCCCTCAGAGGTCGGCGCTGCCCACAAGTGCGAGAGTCTGCGTTAGTGTTAGTAGCGGCGGGACCCTCAGGAAGATCATCGAATGTTGATCTGCGCTGACATCACTGTTGCCGACATCAGTCATTCTTTGATGTACATCAGGAATGATGATCGGCTGATCATCATACAGAGCCCAAATCTGCGATGAGAACAATCTCGGCTGAGAAAGTTCTAGTAGACTTCGTTGAATACCCCTCAGTGCGACGAAGGGATGTCTGGGAAGCAGGGCGGCTTCTTGGAAGGCGGACCCTACGTCCACGCCTCTCCACCATTCTAGCGGAAAACCAGGCGGGAGGGTCGACCAACAGCAGTAGACTGGCGAGGGTTCAGGTGTATCAGTCATGCTAGACTCTGCATCACGTGACCTATCTGCTGCGGCGTCTCAAAGCGCCAAAGTAATTATTTATTAAAGGTAGAATTGGATAAATTAGTATCGCAACTGCAGCGTGAATCACATGAAACATGGCGCGGTACAGCTAGGGCATATTAAATGCGGATCAGCAGCAGAATAAAAAGCGTAATGTGCAGCAAGTACAGAATTTTTATCAGCGTAATCCACTGCAACAAGCACGGCGTCCCGTGCATAAACAGTAGAAACACGACTAAATATCAATATATAATTGTTGAAGATACTAGCTAAACCTCTATAGATCTCTATCACGAGGTAACTAACTAAACATAATCAAAGGATATAGTGTGTCGGGAGACACAGGCGCTCTCACGTCCAGCTCACTGGGCGAAGAAGGAGAGAGTGAGGCACATGGGTAGAGGTGGCGCCCTCGTTCCCGAGCTTGTGGAAGGGAGGTAACTCGTGGTGTACTAATTAGTGATTTTACATTGAAGGGAACTTCAATTAGGGAGATACAAGTGTTCCACTATGTTCGCAAGAGGAAGGAGACAAGCAAAAAGAGCATGAGTCAGGATAAGGAAAAATAAAACAAATTTACTAATCAAACCAAACCATTTTGCTGACATACACTGATCAGTAAGACAATGGCATGGCAGTGTATTATTTCACATTCAATCACAAGTTTGTGTTGATGTTAAGAAGTTTGTCAGCAATTATATCAGAGACGCCAACCCTGAATCTAAGGAAAGTGGAGTCATGACTGGCTGAAAGCCAGGCCTGAGCACCAAAGGTGCGAGTTGAGCGTGAGCGCTTGGTCGGCTCTGCCATTTTGCTTCACTTTGACATGCATTCGGGAAAAACTTTGTGAATCTTCATCGTCAATAACACGGAATATACACAATCGACACCCAAAGGATCAAACCCTAAGCTTCTGAATGAATTTACCAGTGTTCCTCAAATAAATTATATGACTGGAAAATCTAGACTCTCCTGTGAATGACACTATCAGAATCAATCTGCTGGGAGACAATACCATGCATGAAGCAAGTCAACTAATTAGACCTCTGAACATACCGGTAAAACATTGTCTCTTACGACAAGCATGGGTTTACATTGTCTCTTACGACAAGCATGGGTTGCTGAAGACCAAACATTGGTCAGAAGCGTAAACGTTAAGCTGATAATTGTGTGCAGCTATCAGAATTATGATGTTTGTTAAATTTAACACATTATGTTCACCATGTTTACAAAACTCCATAGGGGTAGCTTAGTGGTTGAAGTGTTCTCTCTTCACTCTCAACACCCAGTTTGATTCCCCACAAGGTTATTATGTGTGAAACACATTTATGTAGTCCTGTGCTGTACGTTACCAACAGCACCCAAAAACACACTTACTTGCCTACTCAACATTATGATAGCGTGACTCTAATGTTGTTTAATATCAACATAATTATTCATGGTTAAATATCCAAACTTATCACTATTCTTACCTTTTGACTAAGGGAATTCTAGATTTCCAATTGTTAAAACTACCAGCTATATAAACATCTTTTCCCCCTCCTTCCCACTTGATCACTGTCGGGAGAGCACGGCCTGCTGTCGAAACTGTCGGGTCGCCCCCAGGTGTGATTGTGCTTGAACGAACTCGCTGAAACATAATGCCAAAGAAAATTAGATTTCTCAGCCAAAAATTATGAAGGTCTTTAAGTCATTTTAATACATTCATATGGAGTATCACATAGCTGTGATTGGTGGAGTAGCCCAAGTGTCACCATTAAACTATAACTCAACTTGATCCATTTCAAAATGACAATGTCACATTTCATCATGAAAACTGCTATTTGATCATGACAATGTCTTTTTGATCATGACCATATGTCTATTTGATTATAACAATGTTCATCTGGTGACGAGGTCTCTGTTTGATCAATACTATGTATACCTGATCATGAGAAATCTCAGTTTGATCATGACAATGTCTCTGATTAAAGCAGTGTCTCTTTTTGATTAAGACCAGCCCAGAGGTCAATCCATTCACTCATCATGCCAAAGGCCCAGGTTCGATTCCCCATAAGCATAATGTGTGAAGCCCATTTCTGGTGTTCCCTGCCATAATATTGCTGGAATATTGCTAAAAGCAGCGTAAAACCATACTCACTCACTCACTCTATTTGATGATGACAAAGTCTATTTGATCACAACGTCTCCATTTGATCAAGTACAGACTGCTGTGAATCCACAAAACCTATCCTGCATAAAACACTGCATAACATGATATGATAAGTAGTGTTTGCATGAGCAGATAAATCTTTCAACAGCCACAGAAAGGCAATGCAAACATAGATCAGCAGTATATAACAAATGTCCATAAAGCTTGTAATATTCCCCATGCCACATGCTATGTAGGTAACTCACAGATACAAGATACATGATACAGCTTGCACATACAAGGTACATGGAGATTATGTTATGTGGCTGGTGCTTCAATACTGTCTAGTGTTGGGAATTGGTTGAAATCTCACAATTGATGATTGCTTCATTACCAACGAACAATCATCGAAAAAAATTAGTAAGCATCATTTTTCAGATTTTCCTATCCAGGTTGTTATTGCAGATATATATAACATGATGCAACTTGCTACTTTAAAGTGATGACTAATATATCATGAACATAAACTTCCCGGAGTCTTCAAGAAATATTCAGTCATGGTTTTTCAGTTAGTGAAGTGTGTTTTCTAAGAATTAAACACGTTTTCAGGCCCTGACAACTTCAACGATATGTTCCATTGTCAAGTATTTCAAAGACTAAAACAGTAGTTCCAAAATTGTTTATGTTCGATTATGAAAAAATGTGATCGATTGCTTGGTCGTTTGGTCACTGCGACCAATCTTCGATTATTTAAATTAATCGGAACACCACTAATACTGTCCCATCAGTATGAGGTTCAGTGTGTAGATGACATATTCCCTGTTGATATAGATCTTAAACCATTACAACAAATCATTGTTCTTGCAGTTGATTCTGACCCAGGAATTCAATGATTTTCTGAATGTGTATTCTAAACAAGTCAAACATTTGAGTAAAACTGCCCAGTACAGGTCATTATGCAAATTGCTGAAACTATACATCAAACATAATATCTTTTATGCCTAAGAGGTGAGGTGAAATTGGGTTTAACGTCGTGCTTGAGAATATTTCGCTCATATGACAACGTGCATGCGTGTGTATGTGTATGTGCGGCTGCTTGTACTAGCCCAGACTGAAGCTGGTTTTATAGTGCTAGCCCACTGAGATACCATGCTGCAGTGAAGCATGAATACCCCACTCAGACACATTATACTGACTCCGAGCCGACCAGTCCTTGTTGTACCCATAATGCCGAGTGCCAGACAGGGACCAACAAGTACCATATTTTAACATCTTTTGGTATGACGTGGTCGGGGATCAAACCCGCGTCCTTCCGCTCTCCGGGCGGACACTCTAACCACTACACCACGGAGGCGGTCTTATGCCTAAGAAATCATTTGAGTCTGGCGATTCTGGAATCAGTCAGTTTATTCAGGTCTTGTTGATTTGACTTCCTGAAACCATGGAAACAGGTTCTCTTGATAGTCTGTCTCACAGTCCCTGAACCACATTTTCCTTCTGTCCAGCCCTCCCTGCAATACTAAAGCCCTAAATGAAGCAAGTCTACATTCATTCTAACTTTCCCATCTGACTGGGCTCCATTTCAATTTAAATGGGTTTATTTGTTACTATAAAAATTGTACATATTCAGAGACAAAGTGTTAGTCTAGTTCTCTTGACTTCTCCATGAAGTATTTCAGTGTCTACCACTACCACTGTACTAATCCACTCACACAGCAGTTCCTGAGAACATATATTCTCATTATTTCAGACACGTCCAACTGTACCAGAAAACTAGGATGTGAATACTAACCACGATACATGTGGTTGCTATGGTGATTAGCCTACAGACTGTCAACCATGATAAATTGCTGTACCCTTAATTGTTGTGCCTTTTTATTTTGCTGAATGCCCTTTTGAATTTTATAGTGCCCTTTTTGTATGAGTCTACCCTGCCCTTTCATAATCCTGGGGGAAACAAAACAGCCAGTGAATGGGACCTTTGACTATCCAGTGTATAATACATACATTTTATCATGACAAACAGAAAGGCTCTTTCCACTGCCCCGTTTGAACCTAATAAAAATGACAATGATTAAAATAGTTGACCAGTTAATTTCACATACATGTGTACAAGAAAAATTCTGTTGAAGTAATGCAAGTTTAAAGGAGTTTACTCTATCCACTTCACCACAGAGGAAGCCTCTTGGGGCAGAGCCCCTAACAACTTCACCACGAAGACACTATCTCCAGATAGACACTCTAACCCCTTCACGACAGAAGTGATATCTCCAGGCAGACACTCTAACCCCTTCACAACAGAGGTGGACTCTTCCGGCAGAGCCTCTAACAACTTCACGACAGAGGTGCTATTCCAGGCAGACCCTCTAACAACTTCACGACAGAGGTGATATCTCCAGGCAGACCCTCTAACCACTTCACCACGAAGGCACTATCTCCAGACAGACACTATAACCCCTTCACAACAGAGGTGGACTATTGGGGCAGACCCTCTAACAACTTCACGACAGAGGTGATATCTCCAGACAGACACTCTAACCCCTTCACAACAGAGGTGGACTATTGGGGCAGACCCTCTAACAACTTCACAACAGAGGTGATATCTCCAGGCAGACCCTCTAACCACTTCACCATGAAGGCACTATCTCCAGACAGACACTATAACCCCTTCACAACAGAGGTGGGTGGACGAGGCAGACCCTCTAACAACTTCACGACAGAAGTGATATCTCCAGGCAGACCCTCTAACCACTTCAAGACAGAGGTGATATCTCCAGGCAAACCCTCTAACCCCTTCACCACGAAGGCACTATCTCCAGACAGATGCTCTAACCACTTCACCACCAAGGCACTATCTCCAGACAGACACTCTAACCACTTCACCACCAAGGCACTATCTCCAGACAGACACTCTAACCACTTCAAAACAGAGGTGGACTCCTCCGGCAGACGCTCCAACTACTTCACGACAGAGGTGGACTCTTGGGGCAGATGTTCTCCACTAGAACATGGAGACGGCAGTAATGACACCGTAATGTCATCTACCCAAATGCTACTTATTCTCACAAGCCATTTTAACCACCCAATCACCATTTATTCGCCACGTACACATGAACACAATCTGCGCCTACTATGTTCATGTCCAGCATGCAATCAACATGAGTGCATACACTGCTCAACTTTTGATAAGGACACTCCTGTGATTTGTTGATGTACAGAACAATTGTCCCTATCAAAAGTTGAAAGAAATATAAATATAAAATAGTGCAACACAGTTTAGTACTCGCCAGTTCAACACATTGCTTTCTTGTGAGTACATATCACCTTATGTCCTCGAGGCATTTTGACAGAGCTGGTAAAGGTCCGGTAAAAAATTCACCTTGTCTGAAACCTGAGTCCAGTAAAAAACTAAACTTATGTTCGGGAGCAGAAACAATAAGTAAGCTCAGTAAATAACAATCCATATCATATCATAACACTAAAATGTACTGTAACCCAAACCCCTACTTCCTTGCAGATGTAGGTACCACTTCGGTGAAAACCCTAGAAACAGGGTAAGACTGTACAAGACTGATCAGACTTTGACTTGACTCAGGCATCAGGTTAGCAGCTTAAGTCATACCCGGTTAAGAAGCTATTTCAGTCCACAGCCCAACAATAATATAACTTGAACACGAATATATAGCACACACAGAGATAAACAATTTATTATATGACATACAGTGGTTACCTAGCAACACATAAAGCCATGACAACTCAGTTTGAGTTGTACGAACTTGCCTTGGTGGCCATGTAGGCCCTCTTTCTGCGAGGGGAACTGTCGAGACCACAAAGTAGGCTACAGTGCTGCACACTGATAATCCTGGTGTTCACTCGAACCTAGAACATGGCAAACCACTAACAACACTCTATCGTCACCAAGAGCCCTGGAGAGTCACTGACACAGTGACAGGAAACGTTAGTGTCAGTATATCAACTCAAATGCATCCCTATGTATTAAATTATTAAATTAGTATTCTGTAAGCGTATAATAGATAGAAGTTACTTAAACTTGCCACTATTTTATATATTTCATGATAAATATGAACCAAACGGATTTATTACAAGCTTAAAATAGATTTCCTCAGGTTCTGAATCTACCATCTCACTGGGGCTCCTTTTCAATCTAAATGGAATCAGGCCCCAAAAATATATATGTGTCAGTAGGTAGGGTTGATCTTTTTTTTTACTTTTTTTTTTAATGCACTTGCACATTATTAAAAAACCCACATATTTATGTAATATCAGGCACCAGTTTTGAAAGAAAAGAGGGGAAACCAGTGTAAAATTTTAATAACTGAAGCATCAACACTTTCCAAATTCAACATTTATGAAAAACAAGAGTAAGTGAGCTCAGGTCACATATGGGCGCCCCCAACATTGGGGAGTACATACTGTTGGAATAGCAAAATGTTTCGCCGTCTTTTAAAAAAAGAAAAAAAAATAGTTACGGGGCGGGA